TTTTCAGCCATATTGAGATATAATTGACATATTGTATAAGCTTAAGGTATGCAGTGTAATTGGATGATTTGATATACATATACATTGAGGAATGATTATTAGACTAAGGTTAGGTCACACTTCTATCACCTCACATAATAACTATTTTTTGTGGTGAGAACATTTAAGATCTACACACATGGTGACATTTTAGTATGTAATACAATATTATTACCTATAGTCATAATACTGTACATTAGATCCCCCAGACTTCATCTGATAACTGGAAGTTTGTACTTTTGGTCAATATCTTCCCACATCGCCTGACCAAAAACTCTTGGCCACCACCATTTTATGTTTAGTTTCCATGAGCGAGAGGTTTTCGGATTTCATATAAGGGAGACCATATAATACTTGTCTTTCTCTGTCTGACTTATTTCATTTAACATAATAACCTCAAGGTCCATCCATGTTGTCACAAAAGGCAGGGTTTCCTTTTTTTATGGCTGAATACTATCCCATGTCTTTAGCCATCATCTGTCAATGGTTACTTAGTTTGTTTGTGGGTCTTGTCTACTCTGAAAAATGTGCAAAGATGCTGATATCTCTTTGAGACAGTGATTTCATTTTCTTTGGATAAATACCCAGAAGTGGAATTGCTGGATCACATGGTAGTTCTATTTTTTATTTATTGACAAACCTACAAGTTGTTTTCCATAACTGCACCAATTTATATTCCCAGCAACATGGAATATGGAAAATTGATGTTTCATACACACTTGATTTTGTGAGTGATCTGCCAGGGCTCTTTTCTCACATATCCCACAGAACTGTGAACTCCTCAAAGATAGAATTTTGATCAATGTTGGTCAGTCTGTATTCACAATGCTGAGAACAGCATCTAAAACGGGACATGCATTCAGTGTATATCTGTTTTGAATTGATAAAATAATTTAGAATAATAAATATGATTTTTTAATGCCTAAAAGATTTTTTTCTTTCTGCAAGTAACCAAATCCTTTACAAGATACATTTTCTGAAATTATCCACACATATTTTGTCTTACCCAAGAAGATAGGGGCCTTCTAAACATAGTTTAAACTTTGTTTATTTTTTAATATTTTTACTGCTTTCAGAGAGGAAGAGAGAGGGAGAGAGGGAAACATCAATGATGAGAGCAAATCATTGATCGGCTGCTTCCTGCACACCCACTACTGGGGATTGAGCTCGTAACCTGGGCATGTGCCCTTGACTGGAATTGAATCCAAGACCCTTCAGTTCACAGGCTGAGACTCTACTCACTGAGCCAAACTGGCTGGGGCAAACATAGTTTCAGCTTTGTTTGAGGACATCAAAATGAATAGCAGTTATCTCAATACATATAAGCAATGCTGCCCTTGGGATCTACTGATCTGAACAAAACTGTTGGTCCCTACTCCAAAGATGGTTTCTGAGTTACTGCATCTGCTTTTGATTTGCCTTTCTATCTCTCCTACTTCCGTTGAACATCCAGCTTATATCCTGATAGGATCATTATATTTGCTTTTTTTATACATAGTTCCAAATCTTACTTCTTTCATCAACTGGGGTGAGAACACCATCAATCCAAGTTTATTAGCTTAGTATTTGTAGTAATAGGTGCACTCTGAGACACTATGGGTTTTTTCAGGGTGATAAAATTCATGCATGGGTTTTATGATAACTCTATTATTTGCAAGAAGATTTGGGGATGACTTTTGACTGCAACTTATATTTTAGAGAGACTCTTCCAGGTATTTAACCTATATGGAGGATATGTTATTATACATTTTTTAGAAACATTTATATTCTCTTCAAACCATATCTGTAAAGCATTTCACCTTAGCCTCCAGGTAAATATGTGTGCATGTATTTGTGTAAGTATACAAAATTTTGTTTTGGTAACAATTTATCAGCACATATAGGAAACCCTTTATCTTTAACTGGCTGTGTTTGCTGTTCGTCTTAATTTACACCTATAGGTCTGAGATAGGTTTGCTGACCACAAATCCTTGACTTTCCGGGACAGTTATAATTTTTAGAAGTTTATCTTAGTTTATCTTAGAAGTTTATCTTGACCATATGCTTTGACTTTTACTTGAATCATGTGATCAGAATGGGTTTAGGAAATTTGTAAAAATTATAGAGTATGGAGAAGCATTGAAAATTAACCAACAACCTGCAATCCATTAAGTCCCCAAATAAAAATGTTACCTAAAATGTTTTTTGAGTATATAATTAATATGCAATTTTATGCAAAATTCTGTTGCCATTCTGTTGTATTTAACTTCACATAATTGTTAAGAAAATTATGTAGATAAGAATGATTTTGATTTTTAAAATAAAATTATCTTTATATGCAAATTATGCCAAATGTTGTATATACTCTTATTGTGAGTCATTAACTCAGTTATACTTACTAAAGCTTGATAGGTTTGCAAACTTATATGCTACTCATTTAAATATGAAGAAAACTCACTTTGGTTAACCATAATAACCCTCAAACCATTTGTAAACTATGTGCACATTAATTTTATGGGATCCAGTTATAAATAAAAATTGAGGTAATTTGATTCAAATTAAGTGAATTTAGTTTACACAGTATTTTTGTCACATGAAAAAAATCTGTTCACTAAAACATCTGCGTTTCACCCACTGAATAACAATAAATGCTGTGAAGCACCTTTGCAATCATCCAAGAATTATTGTGTTTTGCTGCTTTCTAATTCATGCATCTAGGCTGTCCTTTAAAGTGGCGGGGGGACTGACACATGTATTTTTTTTATAAGGTTGTTTTGAAGGGGTATAGACATACCATGTTTAAAGGATAATTTCCATATTCATGTCTGAGTGTTGAACTCAATGAGCTTATCTCTGTGGGAATACCTCCCAAGGACAAGAAGTGACTGCAATCAAGATTCACTTTTTATTATCAAATCTGTCAAATATGCTAGTAATGACAGCAATTTCTTTTTTTTCTTCTTTAGATGATGAAGTAGCTAAAAACAGAACAGGTAAATTATTTGGTTTTCTTTTCTTATACTCTTTATACCAAGTAACAACATAGTGGCAGTGCTTTTCTTTGAAAAGAAGGCATATCTTACTGGGAAAATCGCTAAAACATTGCATGAAATCTTCCTTATTGTTACAAACAAACATATTCTAGTGTATTTTTGTATATTTTGGGTCAGACATTTTAATATTTATAAGTTGTTTATAAGGTGGTGACATTTGAAATGGAAAATTGGTTTGATTATTAGCTTTTCTAAAATCACGTGCCTAGATGAGAAATGTGGATGTGGATTTAAGGTTTTACTTTTCTATATTTTCATTGAACCAAATGCTCTCATTTTGTACTCTGGTATTAATTCCTTAGGGATCTATTTTAATTAAACTCAATCTAGTCCTAACAGTTTTACTACTGATTCCTTTGGGCAATTGAACATCATGGAATATTATTCATTATTTTGTTTCCCTAGCCAGCAAAATAAAAAGCCATAGCAAATTGATATTGCTTTCATAGATTTTTTTTTTCTTAAATCTAACAATAATATTTTTGCTAATACCAATATAAATTTACTATAATTCCAGTCTAATGTATACAACAATCAAAATAGCCCAAGATTACTTTTATATTTTTCTTATAAGGCATTTTTAGATCAGAAAGGTAGATAAAGAGCTCACAAGTTTTCTAAAGTAAAGTATCTACAAAAGAGGAGGGGCGTCTCTTTTCCTTTATTTTCTTTAGGGAGAATTATGTCTTATTTTTATTTGTACCTATTTTTACATAGTCTTCAAATTTTATGTATAAATCATGAATTTCATTTTCTTGTCTTGTCAGTGACCAAAATTCATGTTTGCCACAACTTTATTGGAATAGTGTATTCATTAAGTCATTATCACTTCTAAAGTATTTTAATTTTATTTGCGAGATTTCAAAAAATATATAAGTGGTATGACAGAGAGCATAAAATACCTCATGTAATATAGTGTATTATTACCTTAACAAGAGTGTTTTGTTGTTGAATGCATTTGCTAAGTAAATATTACTTGAGTGTCCTTAGTGTTTCAGGCACTGTTCTAGACACTTGAGATGTCTCAGAGAATAAAACAGGCAAAAACAAACAAACAAACAAACAAACAAAAACAAAAAAACACCTAAAACCCAAACCAAAACAGCAGCACACACAAGCAACAAAACAAAACAAAAAACAAAAAACACCTTAAGTTTATGGAGCATAAAATGTAGAATGAACAGTCAATAAACAATAAACATTGTAAGTAGTAACATGGTATATGACAAGATGATAAAATCCTGGACTGAATAAAAGTAGTTCGGAGTGTTAGAATGGGATGGGGTTGCAATTTTAAATCCTCAGAGTATGCCTCATTAAGATGACTTTTCAGCTAAGACTTGAAGAGGTGAATGCTACCATTAAATTATGAGTAGACATTTTAATCTTTTTCTTTGCAGATATAAGGAAAAGAGAAACAGGTATGTTATCTTAAAATTATCAGTTATTACTAAGCCAAGGTTAGTGTGGATTTGACTGTCCACACTAGTATTTTGATGGGGGAAAGTTGGACACTGAAACTTGGAGCTTAGCAATGGAGGAGGAAACAGAGGGAAGTCCCTGCCCTGTCCACAGAAAAATTTCTAGGACACATCTGATGCATCTTCCCAGCTCTATTCAACTCCTTTTTAAATTGAATTTATTTGGGGTGACATTGGTTAACAAAATTATATAGGTTTCAGGGGTACAATTCTAGACTACATCATCTATATATTATATTGTGTGTTCACCAACCCAAATTAAGTCTCCTTCCATCACCATTGTATTCATCTTTCTTGAAGTCTTAAAACTAAGGCAAAAAGATGTGCCTATGGTGATTAAGTCAATCAGTAGCATGTGTTGTTTCAATTGCTGCCAGAAAAACTAGGCTGATAGAAAATAAAATATGGCTTTTCATAGTGTTTCAATCAAATCACCTTATTGTGCCAGCAATACTGTTTTCAAATGAAATCTCCTGTTCTCACACTAGGTGATTTGCTGGTTGGAGGTTCATCCTTTGATGAGTCAGACAGATGGAAATCTGTTACTGTTTCGTATTTCAACACAGAAGATGGTTCTCCAGGAAAGGCTGAGGGCAGGCGGCGAGAGCGGAGAGACACTGAGAGTTTAGAGCTAGAGGACATCGGAACAGGTACAGCTAGAGACAAATGGTTGCCTAGGAAACAGGGGTTTCTTTTTCACTTGGGAGAACCTGATCATCTTTGTTTTATTTGAGGTTCATGGCCTTAATAGCAACAGTGGATTAGGAATAATCTAGTCACTAATACCAGTGCCATTGAAAGTGATGAATTCCGTCTTTAGAGAATTTTAGCAAAGAATTGTACATTAAACCAAACTTTCCCCTGATACCTTTTCTTTTCTCCTGTTATATTTCTACGTAGTGCCATTATCATGATGATCAGTCATTTTATAATGTATAAGTTACTAATTTAAAATGCTTTCCGGACCCAAATTTAATTTCTCTACTCATGTTTCTGTCTGCAACCACAATTCATTTTCTATACCAGTATTTTCTCTTTTAACTTTCATAGTTAATTTGCTGAGTGATAGAAGAAAGCAGGGTTTCTAAACAGTTTATAGTCTCTCAATTTTTCTTTTTTGGGGGATTAAATTTCTCTAGATGAGGCATGTCCTTTCTGGTTAATAAACTACTCCTTATTGGTCGATTCAGGCTTTTACTTTACCTGTCTTGTCCCCGAACATCTATATTTCATAGCTCTTCATAAATGAGAAAGGAGATTCAGTGAGGAAAATAACTTCAATATTTCATACCACATTTGACATTTGAGTTCAAATCTAACATTTGAGTTCATTTCATGATATCTGAAAAGGGAGAAACAGCCTTGGGTGGAAGGGTGCAGTTGAGATGTTTTCAGGAAGGACACCATTTCCTGTCTGTCCGTTCATCTGTTTTGGAATTGACAAACTTGGTATGACTAATGATCATTCACATGTGTTTACCATAGTGAGACGGTTCATTGTTTGTTCATGTTATACAGAACTCAATGAAACACTAATGGAATTCCATCAAATCTCTTGGCCAACTGGGTGCCATGCACACCCCTGGTTACACAATGTGGAAGCATCTGTGGAAAGATACATGGAGAGGAAGGGGGATATACATTACAGTTGAAATGTAGGCGTAGTTCAAGCAGTATATATAGTGACTAGTCAATGAATGCAACTTTTCTCTAATAACGATAGTATTTTTTTGCAGAGGAAACAAGCACGGCAAGTGGTTCTGACTACGGGGACTCTGGTGGTACGACTACTAGTGACACTGATTACATTGATTCAAATAAAAATGAAGCTGGTAAGGATCCATCTGGCCCAAGTGGATTTGATGAGAATGCAAAAAAAAAAAAAAAAAAAAAAAAAAAGGAGCTGGCTCTAATTGTGCTGCCAGCATTCTAAGTTCTTTTGGTAGAAAAAAATCATCCATGAGCAAAGCAGGGATTGGTCGTGTTTTTGACAACTACAGACTTACTGTTAGAGGAACACAGGGGGAAGATTTTTAAGCTACGCTTGATTCTTAAAGGATCTGTGTTATCCTCAACAGGAGTTTAAACGTTTTAATAAAGAGGCAGAAGGATAGAATGCTTTAATGAGGGGAGTTATCCAGTTTCTATCCTCAGGATTTCTCAGGAACCTTCTGTGGACTTGGGGAAAGCCACTTAAAGTCTCTCATTCCTGCTCGGCCAGTGTGGCTCAGTTAGTTAGGCATTATCCCATGAATCAAGAGGTCATTGGTTCTTCCTGCCCCCCATCCTAAGTCAGGGCACATGCCTGGGATTTTGGGCTTGACTCCCAGTAGGGGCATGCAAATGCAGCCAACTAATATTTCTATCTCTCCCTTTCTCTCTCTCTCTTTCTCTCTCTCTTTATCTCGCTCTCGTCAATAAATATTTTTTTAAAAAATTCTCTTGCTAAATAATTTCTCTTGTTCACAAGTTTTGACATAAGAACAAAAACCTTTTGGTCTTATGTTTCTATGATGTTTGCAATGCTTTATAAGTTATATTACCCTATAACTTTACAAGTTCTATTACTCATATTCGAACTAGTTTTCTTGAAAAACAAATGTCAGGAAAAAGTACAATAGGTTCATAAAAGTGTGGATAAATGGAAATTTATATTAAAGAATTGAAGCAAGTGAAAGAAAGATAAGTCAATCAAGTACAGTAAATCTAGATATTTTTTGTGTCAGAGCTATTTATCTCAAAAGATGTGGAGGTTGGTGGAAACGGGAAGAACAGCAAAAAGTTTGTGCATAAATCCATGGGTTTTGGCTCCCATGTCAGTGGCTCAGAAATTCTGATTCGGGCTCTATTAAAAAGAAACAAACAAATAAATAATTTACATCCTTTGCTGATTGATCCTAACAACAGTTTCATTTTCCTTTAATTTTAAACTTGGTGTCAAGAGAAGGTTTGTTTGGTCTTAGTATTTCTGTCATGTGGAGTTGTCATCAGTGGTCTTGAACAAAAAGGCTTTTGTTGAAATGAAATAGGAAACACTGGAAAATCAAGTTCTAGAGATTACTCTTCAGGTTTTGTGCATAAAAAGCAAAGAGTCATAAGATGTATTTAAATATTTCCTGGTGACAATCTTTTTTAAAAATTAGCAGGTAGCATCAGTACAACATGTTGTGTTGGATTTAGTAATTGGACCTCTGAAAATTTAGAGAAGTCTAATTAGAACTAGATACAGTGTAGTGTAATAATGGTTGACCTCAGTCAAAATTGGTCATCAATTCAATCTGTTTAAAAAAGTCTTGGTCATATAGAAAAAAAATAATAATTTTGTGCTTTTCTTAAGTTTTAGACATCGATTTAGAGGTCAACACTTCAACAGAACTGAGAAATTTAAAATCACCCATTATTTAGTGCCACTGACTTCCTTTAGGCACAGTTGGTACAAATGGTTTAAGGAAGCCAGAATTTCTGACCCTGAGATCTGCTGCCATTAGTTCAGGTATACAAATTTAGGTTTTGTCCCTGAGAAATGTACTAAGAAGTAATTGCCTCTTATCTTTCTATTGTGTAGTAATTATTAATTTGAGGTTTTTCTGCTCAAAGTCAGCTTTCAACTGCTTTCATTTTGCTCAATCAGACAGACTTTTATTGATTAGTGTTCTTTCTGGTAGTGTATTTCATGGCAATAAACCTAGTGGCTTTGAAATGGCAGATTGTGGTTCCCTTGACGTTTCACATCTTGAGATGGATATCTTTGTTCATCTAGATGAGTGATTTTCACACTTCCAGCTGTTAGAATGCAGAACCCTTTGTTCATTTGACATTTTGAAATTTCAGCTAGATTTCCCAAATGTAAAATAATTTAAAGTGGGAGTAAGTTTGACTGAAACTGGGATAGGAAACCTGGAATCCTTTCTCTGCAATCCTGACCTTTTTTCTGAATAAGTTTTAAGGACATTGATCTGGAACAGAGTAATTTTGTATCAGTCCATTTAGTGGCAAGGCATTTCATTTTGTTACTCCAGCAGGTTGTTCAGTGCATAATTCTCTCTCTCTCTCTCTCTCTCTGTCGATCGATCTATCTATCTATCTATCTATCTATCTATCTATCTATCTATCTATCTATCTTATGCAGCTTCACGTGATTTTAAATGTGTTAGCATTAGCTTTGCTAAAATGGGATCTATAGTTTTTTCATCAGATTTTAAAACCTTTTTCATTTTTCACAACTAAAAGACACACATAAACAACTTAATCATTTTGTTTTAAATAGGTGTGAAAAGCTCATCTGATGGCAGTACCACGGGACCTCCCAGTACTCCAGGTAGTTTAAGTTATGACTTCAGTTTTAAAAAAAAGTACATATCTACATAAAGTATAAGTAATAATACTAGTAAATCAATAATATCCTATTATGTGTTTCTCATATTGAATTGAGTTTCTAAGTGCTTTTCTGAGTACTAAAGTTTAGATGACCAAATGATTATTTGAAACAATTTCATGGATAAGAGAGAGTACATCATTTTAAGTCAATCTGAATAAAATATAGTGTAATTTCTACATCATTTTAGATATATTATTTTAAAATTTAGTTTTGAATAAAAAGTTAAATCTACTTCCACTCACTCCTAGTAAAGTCAACCTGTTGTGAAGAAAAGTGGCTTCAAGATACACAATAAATGGCATTGTGAAAAATGTTTTAGATTTATATAAAAATCTTTACTTTTGTTATTGTTTTATTATACTTGCATTTAGACATTGCTCCAAGATTTCTTATAAATTTACTTGATAACATAAAAGGGCCAGTGTATTAGAAATAAATAGTCATGGGAAACAAATTTCATGGTATACTTATTTTTCCCTTTGATCAGGAAAATTCATTTTTCTTTATATATAGATCATTGAATTATAGTATTATATAGTAGACTGGTTTAATATATACTATATCTTTGGTCTGTTTGGGCAATGGCCAATAAAAACTTATAGTTGGAAAAAATAGTTCTGTTAGGGAAGTAACATGTATTTGTAATTGTGGACACCCATAATGAATAAGATCTTAATTTCTGAGTTTACTATGGCTGATTGTCCCAAGAAAAAATATGAACTTCAGAGATAATTATGTATATGACCTTGGCAAATCACAGCTCTCACAAAATAAAACTATATATTCAGAATAAAACCCCATTGATGGATTTTAGTACCAACTTCTTAATTTCCATATAGATGCCCACATGAACTGTATATTTAAAATTAATATATATATCCTGAAATTTAATTAACCTATGCATTGTATTGAATAGAAAAAGGATCTCATATTCCAGAAGCAACTCCCACATACTCAGAAACAAATACAATTATTGGTAAGTAAAAATTATTGTGATTCTTATTCATATTGATATACCTAAGCTAGTACCTAATCCTATAAAATAAAAACCTAATATGCTAAGTGTCCAGTCATCCAATCAGCCATTTAACCAATCAAAGTGTAATATGTTAATTATATGCTAAGGCAGGTCAACCACTTGCTATGAGGAGCACTGACCACCAGGGGGCAGATGCTCCAATTGGTAGGTTAGCTTGCTGCTGGGGTCCAGTTAATCAGGACTGAGCTAGATAGGCTGGATTTGCCCTGGAGCCCTCTCACAGTCCCTCCCTGGCTGGCCAACCTCCCACACTCCTCCCATGTACCAGTTGGTCCCGCGGCCTGGCCTGCACCTCCTTGCAATTCAGGACCCCTCAGGGGATATCAGAGAGCCAGTTTCGACCTGATCCCACAGGCCAGGTTGAGGGATCCCACTGGTGCATGAATTCATGCACTAGGCCTCTAGTGAGGTTATAAAGTAACCAATTTGCCATCATCTATTTGTTCGTTGTATGGGTGAATAGCATTACATCAGTACTATTTTTTCTTCAAAGATACATACAAAGACACTATATACATATAAATACTGTAGATATGCACATTTATACACAAGTACACATGTGCAAATTGTATATATATATATATATATATATATATATATATATATATATATAAATAATAGAATTCTTTACACTCATTTGATAAAAATGTTAACCAACGCAGACATTAAAAAGACTGCGTGTATAAAGAGCAAAACAATTAAGCAGACCACCACTTCCCTCCATAGATTCCTCCCCATAGTAAACACTCCTTTTCCCCTTTCTAATGGAAACAAGATGTTTTATTCATCTTTTTTTTTTTAATATGCTTTATTGATTTTACACAGAGAGGAATTGAGAGGGATAGAGAGTTAGAAACGTCGATGAGAAACATCGACCAGCTGCCTCTTGCACAACCCCCCCCCCCCCCCCCCCGCTGGGGTTTGTGCCCAAAACCAAGGTACGTGCCCCTGACCGGAATCGAACCCAGGACCTTTCAGTCCTTAGCCCGACGCTCTATCCAGTGAGCCAAACTGGACTCGGCTTTTGTTTTGCCAGTTAGCCAACTTTGGGTATTCCCAAGGACTCAGGTGCTACTTTGAGTGTGTTTTTGCAGTATGTGAGAAAGAAAAGTAATGAATAAAGCTAATGGCTGTGAGAGTAGAATCTTTCAGTGATTTTTAAAATCTTGGTGAATAAACATTTTAATAAATCAGAACTAGATAGTACATTAATTGTCTGAATAATTATGAATATTTTATTCTAAATATCTTACAGGTGAAGCTGCTACTTGGGACCAAGGAGCGTACAAAGCTTTTAATGGCCATATCTTTTCCTTCGAGTCATCATGCACATACACTTTCTGCCGCCACTGCGTTGAATCTGGAGATTTCAATATTGAGATCAAACGAAACAGTGATAGTGAGATTGAAAAAATAATGGTTTTGATTGACAATAATGACATCTCCATATCTGGTGATACCCTCTTAGTTAATGGAGAAAGGTAAATGTGGTAGTGTTTGGATAAATGCTGTAGAATTATTTGAAGTAACCTAAGCAAAACAAACAAAAAAGTTGAATAGGGACGAGATAGTGAGAGATGATGTACTCTTTTCCTATTTTAAAGCATGTTGATATTTTTAATACATTTTTGGAAAGGAGTTTGGTAATTATTTAATACAGATATATGTGGGATTATAAAATATATTTGTTTCTGTAACAAGGTAGGGAAAAAAGAAGTTGACTATTTTGAGTATCTCAGTTTTGGGCAACGTATGTATTAAAAAAAAACTGTTAAAAGAATGTTTCAATTTTCATTTGTATGTTCAACATTAAATAGAAACTTGAGGTTTTATAATAGATTAAAGCCCTTAGGCCATGATTTCCAGACATAGTAATTTACATTTGGAAGAAATAGCATATTTAAATAGTTACCAGGTAATAAAATGTGGCATACTATTCTGTTTGTGAACATTTAGAATTATTTCATCATTATTTTCTTATACTGAACCACTGTGTTCTGTTGTTGTTGTTGTTATTAATTACTCCAAAGTCCCAAAGATTTATTCATTGTTCTTTAAAAGTCTTTCCAATATTGGAAAATAGCCATTGTATCTCTTCTGAAATGATATAAAAAATAAAACTTTCATAATTACTAGACAGGTTTTCTAACTATAGAAAAATTAATTACCAGATAAAGGTGTTATTAGAATACTTTTTACATTTGTATGTACTTGTATGTTTATACTTTTCAGTGTACAGATACCATATAACAACAAGTTGATTCACATTAAAAAATACGGAGAATATAATGTCCTGAACAGCCGTAGAGGAATTTTGTCTTTACTGTGGGACAAAAATAACACACTCTCAGTAAGTTTATCTTATAATCCTATGCTATTTTTTGTTGCTTTTAGTTACAAAAACAATATATTATAAAACCAGATCTAAAGTTTACTGAGCAATCTCTATGCGTTTGTCATTGTACTATTCATTATCTTAATATTAAAAACATCTTGATAATAGTACATACTATTATTAATCTTATTTTAAAGATGATGGAATTCAGGAGATTCATTCTAATGAAAAAGTTAAATAACCTTCTCAAAGACACATGGTTAGTAAGTGGTAAGTTGGGATTTATTCCAAATTCTAGAGCCAGGTTCTTAAAAATCACACACCCTATAGTACATCCCTCAGTAACCAGCTTAGATAGAATAAAATACAAAGAACCATGTTCTTTGATTTGAGTAAAACTTGTCTTAAGATATTTTCAATAGTTTATAAATATATACATTTCCATTTCTTTTAAAGCTCACTCTTCACAAGCAATACCCAACTTGCGGTCTTTGTGGTAATTTCAACACCACTCCAGGTAAGATTTCAATGTATTATGTACAAGAATATTGCTTCCCAAAAGAAAATTACAAAGTAAATGTTCATGTTTGGATAACTGTAACAACACTTTGCATTTGTCTAAAGAATGGAAAAAAATGTTAAAATAAACATATGTCTATATGTTGTCAAATCTATGTTTAGTTTGGCGATAATGTGTAGATGTGATGCATACTGTGAATCAAACATTGCTTTCTTTTTAAGGAGAAGATATAAATGAGCACATTGACAATAGTAAAATTTCTGATGATTGTCCTCAAGCTACTAGTAAAACCTATGAAACTTGTGAAGCTGGAGTAGAGGTAAGAAATTAGTATTTTTTTTCATTTTTTTTATTAAGGTATTTCTGTACATATCTTACCATTGCCCCCTACACCCAGAAATTAGTATTTCATCTAATAGAAATTTTCTGCACTATTCCCCTGGGTTTCAATTTAGATAGCCAGCCTCCTTTCTCAGCTTTCACATCTTAGAATTCTGTGACTGCTTCCCCTCTAATGTTCCTGTAGTGTGAGCTTTAGTCTAACTAGAGATGACAAATTAACGTTCTTCCTAACATTAACTATGTATTAGTGTGACAATTCTAATTCCCTTTGCATGGTGTTTTAATTTGTCTGTAAATTGACATGTTTCACCTCTGCATTATTTATCTCCTCATGGGTACTAACTTGACTCTTACAGTTTAGAAATCCATGTACCCTGTCCCTAGGAACTAGTTTCTGTTCTTGCTTTCTTACTTTTGCCCCAGAGAACCAGTCTGAATTGTCATCCTTCATATCCTTTACCTTCTTTTTGAAAAAGCTACCGGTAATATTTTTTATTACAATTGAAAATAGTCATTATTTACTCTGTGCATTTTCCGACATTGTGTTATGTTGAATTTCAAAGGTTCATTTGATGACTGAATGAACATTCACATGTTCCAGTTTCAACCTAGAACAAAATTCACAAAATCAAAAGATAGAAGAGATTTTTGTTTTATTGACAATGCATTTATAACCATCTAGCAAATAAAATTAAACCATGACGTTATACAAGATCATCTACTCTCTTTCCTGTGATACCCTCTTTGCATTTAGAATGCCTTCTCTTTCTTTCATTTCCTATGTCACTCGTTGGTTCTTACGATAAGACACCATCTATTATGATTTCCCATGTTTTTCTCACATGTTTTCTATAAGATTATGTATGAGTTGTGTGATAATGTCTTATTTGTTGTGGTAGTTGCACACTGTGTGAGAAGTTAGCCCTGTTGCTTAAAAATGTTAGTTGAATGTTTATATAAGTTTATGTTAAAGCCAATGAATACTTGATAAAGACCTACAATATTAAGACCTGGTATTATCTATGTTATATTATATTCAATGTTATATTTCTTGCCTGAAAGGGACCTATAATTTATAGATAAAGATAATAAAGAACAATAGATAAAAAAACAATCTTTGAAGGTGTTATTTAACTTTATTTTGTATCTTGCTTGGAGAATATTATCAATTGTCTCAGAACTTAATTAGTGCAAATCGTGCATTTGTTTGGCAATAACTTTCACATTTCCTGAAAGAAAGCAAACAAAAACAAACAAAAATTGGTAAAATAGGAGATTGTTATGCAGTAGTTAAGATATATTGAAATTTGAACTTTTTAATTTATTAATGTTTTTACTTTCTGAACCAACATGAGAACAAATATATTGTTTCCAGAGCAAACTTACATAGCCCATGCCAAGAAAACAAAGTCACTATATTTTACTGTCAACGTTTGCTCACCAAATATAAGCAAACTAACAGTTAAAAGGCCAATATCCCTTGTGTCTATTGTATTATCAATCATTTACCATTCAATTTCTGATATCAATCTCTCCTTTTCTCACTTCTTCCACTTTCTCAAGTTTTAAATCTCATGTCATCTTTAGAGAAATTTGGAATAAATTCAGGTATAGTTTTTGAAGTTGTTTTATAGCAACTCAAATGCCACAAGTGAAGTACTATCTTAAGAGTGACTGTATCTACTATAATCCTTAAAAATTCTTCATTTCAACCAGCATCCAACAATCCTCCCTGTCAAAACTATGGGATGTTATGCAAAAAAGTACTTCTGAATTGATTTCTTCTTAAATATTCATTTGCCCATTTTTAATGTTTTATTAAAACTTCATATTTTGTTTTGCAGTACTGTAACAAAATTATTGGAACCTACTTTGAGGAATGTACAAAGGTTTCTGCCTTGTCCAGTGACTACAAAAAGGTCTGCATTGATGAGTATTGCCAAAAGAGAGACAAAAAGTCGACATGTGATACTTATTCAGAACTGTCCCGCCTTTGTGCCTCAGATGGTCCTGGCAAATACGAATCCTGGCGAGACGATTCTGATGTGTTTTGCGGTAGGTTTTTCATCTTATTGTAGATTTCCAACCAGGAAGTTTATACAGGGGTGGACAAAAGTAGGTTTATAGGTGTGAGTACGCAAAACACAGAGCTTATTGTTGTATTATTTATTATTGCACTATTTTCCATATGAATGATCATAAAACAACTTTGGACCAGCCCTGTATGGGACTTTAAAGTTGAGCTATGTTTCATAGAGATCTTCTCAGAATGTAAGCCCTGGGAAGCATCTCAGAGATAATAGAGTCTTGTCCTCACTTGTCCTTGTGATGACACTGAGGCCCTTTGGTGAAGTGTTAAGATCTTAATGAGGAACTTAATAATATTTACAATAAATAAAATTCACTGTGGGGAATGAGTAAAATTGAACAAAAAATGTAAAAAGTCCTGGGAATGTTATCAAAAGCATATTAATTCGTACTATGATTTTCTTAAAAAATTAGTAAAACATAAATAGAAGATTCACACATATATAAATATACTTTTCACATATGCTTAGCTCAGTCCTTATAAGCTAGAATACAAATAAGATTAAAGTAAGATAAAATGATATGTGCAGCATACATTTCCTCCACATTAAATTTTGTATTATAAAATAATGCATGGTCAATCAGCATAATATAGTGATACTATCTTTAAAAACATATATCTTGAAAATTAGACTCAAATAATTCTATTTGAAAAGATTATCATTAGAATGTTATATATTTATCAAATTAAATTTTCTTCTAATTTTCATGTATCAATATTTCTATATTTCTCCAGAAAAACCTCAATGCCCAGAAAAACATATCTACAAAGAATGTGGCCTCTCAAATCCTGCAACTTGTTCTAATGTGGCTCCTTTTCAAGACAGTGAATGTGTGAGTGGCTGCACCTGCCCAGAAGGTAATACTATTTACACCAAAAGAACTGATACAGAAGTGACTCAGTCTAGTGGAGTCTTATCTCTAACAAGATACTTAATGAATTCAATTATTCATAGTACAGCCTTCTAGCAAACTGCAGATGAGGGGTAGAGAGAGACCTTTAAAGTTAATGTGAATTTCTATCTCCGCAGTACCTGAGGATCTGCAATACCCACAGATTACCCTCTGATTCTATATTTGGCTCAGTAGGACTGCTCTGTGGTTCAGAAAATTATATACTTGCGAGTTCTCAAAGAAGAAGTAACTGCTTAAATATAAATTACTATGTTAAGTGCATGTCTGCACCTAGCAGAACTAGATCAACAGTAATTTCACAATGCACTGCTTGAGAATTTACTGATGTTCATGTTTTGAGATTCATCTTACATAATGTATTCTAGGTTACCTATTGGATGACATTGGAGAGAAAGGAAAATGTGTATTAAAGGTTAACTGTCCCTGTGAGTCTAATGGAATAGTCTACCAGTCAGGAGAAGTCCGAGAAGGTCCTTGTGGGTCTCAGTGGTATGTGTGTGCTTTTCATCCTCATTTTGTTGATAAGTGAAAAAATATGAAGATTTTAGTCTAATTTAAAATAATCCCTAACTCTGCCCTTAAGAAAAATTTAGCAGGCTCAGGGGATTTTCTCTGTTAATATTTTATCTTTTTGGTTGAGGAATGTTTAGTGTGATATTTATATAAAACGTGAACTTTCTGTGTATCTTTAAAAGATAATATGTTTCACTCATTGAAATAGTGTTTTGACTATTGATCCAGTTGGTGGTTGCAAATATAGAACAAAGAATAATACAAGAGTATGGTTACAATAATGAAATACTAATATCATTCTGATTGCCAAGAATATTTAATAAAATGTATAATCAGAAACAACCCAACACTTGAAAATAATTTTATATAAGGCTACATTGGTGGAGATAAATTTAATCTGGAGTAGATTTTAATGTGCCAAAGGCTAGTGTAGATTATTCCTCTTTGAAAAGTTAGCTTGATTCTTCCTTTTAAATGCAGCAAGAATTTGCTGATGAGAAAGATTTCTCCATTCCTCATTATTACTTTTCTCTGAAACTTCAAATTTCTTTAGGATTCAAAAGGACTTTTCTAGAAATATATTATGTTGTTCTGGGTAAATAATTTAACTCAATGAAAAATTATCTATTATTTATACTATAATAATTCCCCTATAAATAGAAAATGTTTGATTCATGTGGTAATAATTTATTAATAACTAGTGGCCCGGTGCACAAAATTCATGCATGAAAGGGGGATCCCTCAACCCAACCTGCACCCACTTCAATCAGGGACCCCTTGGGGGATGTCTTACTGCCAGTTTAGGCCTGATCTCACAGGCAGTAGGACATCCCTCTCACAATCTGGGTCTGCTGGCTTCTAACCACTCACCTGCCTACCTACCTGATTGCCCATAACTGCCTCTGCCTGCCTTCCTGATTGCCTCTAACCCCTCTGCCTGCCTGATGGCTCTTAACTGCCATCACCTGCTGGCCTGATCTCACCCCCCCCCAACTGCCCTTCCCATGCTGGCCTGGTTGTCCCTAACTGCCTCTGCCTTGGACCCCACCCCCATGGCATTGTTCAGAAGGAATTTGGACGTTTGGAAGATGGCTGGTCAACCCAGTCTAATTAGCATATTAGCCTTTTATTTATATAGATAGCTTATATATGATAGAATTGCTTAAATGGGGGTGGAGGAAGCCTTTTTCAGCAGGAGAAGATGCTCTTGGCAGACAAAAATATATAATCCCTATATCTGGACTGATAGTCAGCCATATGCAATATACCTCCAAAATGGTCATTAAAAAATTGAACCACTTTCTTACACCTTACACAAACAGCTGTCATCCTTAAAACCCCTCATCAGTCCCCACCTTAGGTTCTACCTTCGCAGTTCACCCAGATAACGTTCTGATTGGTCGGTTTCTATGCCAGACATCGTCAAAAGCTCCACCTCCTAGGCAGCCATTTACTCCTAGCAGTTCACCCAGATTTGTTTCTGATTGGTCGGTTTTTATGCTAATCAGCATCTCCAGGCCCTATCTTTGGGCCTGATCAAAGAGGCAGAGATGATCAGCAGCCCCCACTGCTGCTGACAAAGCCTGAAGAGAAAGAGAGGTCAGGGCTGATCAACAGCTGCCACAGAGGCTGCAGATCATTATGCTTCTCTCTCTGGGCTTTTCTCCTGGTCTGATCAGCAGCCCTCTCAGCAGTGAGTGCTGCGTTGCTGGGCCTGCAGTGGTGGCAGTCAGTGCTGGGTCACTACAGCAACTCAGCACTGATTGCAGGACTGACTTTCAGTGTTTGGTTGTTCATTTGGTAGTTTTGGACATTACAGACCCTGGCTCTTTATATATATATATATATATATATATATATATATATATATATATATATATGTGTGTGTGTGTGTGTGTGTGTGTGTGTGTGTGTGTGTATACATATATATATATGTATGTATGTATATATATATATATATATATAGAGAGAGAGAGAGAGAGAGAGAGAGAGGGAGAGAAAGAGAGAGAAGTATGATTTATTAAATATCTATAAAAATGCTGCTCATGTGCTCAAGAGAAGTTAATGTGAGTCATGAATGTCACCCATATAGATAACTAACACTTTTAACTATTATTTCAACATAAAACTAGTATAAACATTAACATGAGATTTTACAATTATTTTCATGTTGTCTTCGCAGTCTGTATATTTTTCATTTAAAGTAGATCTCAATTAGAACTAGCCACATTTCAAATAATCAATAGCTACTAGTATATGACTCTGTACTATATTGGAAAGTACAGGTCTACAATGTGCCAAGTACAAGATGCTTTAAGACTCACAGTGAAACATGTTCTATTTAAGCACCTGAGATTCAGCTTACAAGCTTTTATTTGTTTAATGCAGGCAGATGTTATCATTTTATTCAGTGGAATTCATGACTGTTAAAATACCAAGATACCAGTGTCAATGAGGCATTACATCAGAACTGAGATGTTGGACGGGGAATGTACATGGCCTTAGAAAGCTTAATTAAATGTCAGCGTAAGGCGTGATTTTTTAAAGACATGATTGATGGTCTTTAACATTACCATTTTATTTTAATAGCACATGCCAAGAAGCAAAGTGGTCTTGCACTGAAGCAATGTGTCCTGGAAGATGTAAGGTGGAAGGAAGTTCAATTACCACCTTCGATGGTGAAAAATATAATCATCCTGGAAACTGTCACTTTTTGGCCATCTATGTACGTAAGAACCTCTGATACTTCAAAAAATTAATACAGGCTCCAAGCTATTTTTAAATTATTTAGAAACACAATCTTTGCCTTCAATTGTTAAAAAAACAAACAAAACACAAAACAAAAAACACACACAACAAATGCATTTTACAAACAGCCTTTCAGGTATTAGTTATATATTTCAGTCTGTTTGCTATCACATTGACATTGGCAAAGAGTATTACCTGTGCTCTTTAGAAATTCCTGCTTAAAAACAAACAAAGCCCTTTCATCACTAATTATTCTCTAAATACACTGGAAAATCACTTGTGCTACTTTTCTTTGCATGTGTTCACTAGTGTCTCAAATGAAACTATTCTTTATATTCTACTAGAGGCCTAATACACAAAATTCGTGTAAGAGTAGGCCTTCCTTCTCCTGGCTGCTGGCACAGGCACCTGGGACCTGGCACCTGGGACCTGGGCTTCCCTCACAGCCCCAGCTTCATCCAGAAGGTTGTCCTGAAGGACATCTGGTCTAATTAGCATATTGTGCTTTTATTATTATAGATGGAGCATCTTTCTCTTTCATCATGATTCTTTGCATTTATTTTTAGTTTTTATGACAATATTATCAGTGTGATAGAAGCTGTCCTTAGGTTTAAATTTTTTTTCAGTATTAAAATTTTAAGTAGTTTGAATTTTAATAAAAGGGGGAATCCCATTTCATTGTTTGTACCTTCAGTTAGCATGCGGATAAGTAATATTAGTTAGTCTTCCTGGTAAGAAACAAGGATGAACAGAATTTGTGATTCCTGAGGTGAGAGATGTGGGTCAATATCCAGTACTCTGAGAAATGTACTTACTGCTGCTAAAAGTCAGTTTTTCAAATTTTCTCTTCTTCTCTTTGTATGCTTCATGTAATCCATGAGGATGGGGGATGGGTAAAGTGAGAAGGAAATAAGCCAGAATGTATGGAATGTTTGCTTCCTATAGGTTAGGGATTCCTAGATCTTAAAATGAGAGCTGTAAGTTAGTGTTTGACATGAGTTATATTGAGGTTTCATAAATTGTCTCTTACATCAGGTCTAAATAGACAATGTGGATTGTCCAGAGACTAACCAAGCTAGGTTGCCTCTAGTTCATCTTAGTCTCCACAATACAACATCACTCCCTTGGAAGAGAAGACAGAAAGTAAAGATTAAGAAAAAAACAATGGCTATGAAAAACCACCAATCATAGACCACACAGAAAGAGCTGATCGGTAAAGCTCTTGACCAATTTTAATCTACACACCATGGATTGAAGTTAGATTCTATTTTCAAAGCAGAATGATTATACAGAGGCATTGTAGTGGCAGGAAGAGACTAGATTTTGGGTGGTGAGCACACAATGGAATCTAGAGACACTGGATTATAAAGTTGTATGCCTGAGATGTATATTATTAACCAATATTACCCCAATCAATTTAAGATAAAGAATGCAAACATGCATTGTGAATAAATAAAATAGGGATAATATGTAATCAATAACATTTTAGTTACTATCTAACTGAAATGTCTTTTTTAACAGGATAAAGACTGGTTTGTTAGCGTTGAGCTTCGGGAATGTCCAAGTGGTATGTCAGGAACATGCTTAAACAGTGTTACAGTCGCCTTAAATGCGGTAAGTCGTCAGCTTCCTAAAACTTACTCAGAGCACAACCAAATCATTTATATCTCAAGTTCAGAATTTCAGAGGTTGCAGAAAAGAGGCTTGACTATGTAAATTTAAAACACAAAAAAACCTCATGCAGAAAATTGGTAGAGTCTCTGGAAGAGTTGGATAGTTCCAAGGATCTTTAAATAATAAAAATATACTATAGATACACAACTAACATGCTCATTATACATCAACCTCATGTGCTTAGAAAACTATTAAACACTGCGGGTCATTTAAGAAGGCAATTATATTTGTTTAGAATTTCATGTATGAGAAACTAACATTTAAGTGAAAATAGACCTAGATGAGAAGGAAGAGCAGCCAGCCTGCACGTACAAGCTTTTTAACCTTTGGAAATTCAAGTTACCTTCAAGGGTCTTAGTTGTCTCACCTACAATTGAGGAGGAAGAGTCCTTTACAAACTTCCTCAGAAACTTGGTATGAAAAGTAATGAAGCAAAGTATGAATTGAAAATGCTTAAAAAATGGTTATTATAGATATTTAGGAATTAATCTAATAAAATTAAACCGTTTTCATGGCATCTATTATGTATTTCATTGCATTAGTCTGAAATAATTTTATAAATTGATGTGAACTAACAATTTATTTTCAATTTTAGTCTGGTTCAGTTGACAAATATGTATTTCATAGAGATGGAACAGTCTCAAATGACAAAATTGAAAATCAACATTATTACTCTTCAGGTAAGTTTCATAATACCACTTAAAATAAATGTAAGAGGCATTCATTTATTCAAGTTTTAATGATAATATGTTTCTGTTTTAAACATGTATTAAAGAATAAAAACACTTTAATAAATTTAAATCTGTTTAATATGTTAATTACTGTTAATAATGTCAATAATTCTTTTAACAGACCAAATACAGATTTTCAAGGCATCTCTCTCATACTTCCAAGTAGAAACAAACTTTCATGTAAAAATGCAAATACAAACTGATCCCGTGATGCAATTATATGTTTCCATGCCACCTAACCAATTCACAGACACTGTTGGTAAGTCCTCTGCCTATGTTTTTATTTTCAAGGCCCTAATATGACAATCATCTATTATAATTTTCAACTGTCTCTTAATGGTATTAAACCATAAGTCATTTTTATATTTCAGTAAAATTTCAATTTGCTTTTTTATAGTAATGACAACCTTGTTTACTACAAAACCTATTTCTAAATGGTTCTCAACATTTTAGTTTTTTAAATTAAGGTTTTTATTTTCCAAATATAGTGATATTTGATAATATGTTAAATATCCTTTTGTTAATATGCATTTTTAGGGTTTTTGGTCTGTAAAAGAATAAACTAAGATATTATGAATATCAACCTTTTGAAAATCATATTTCAGACTACAGTATAACTTGTTTTTCTGATCGGGTGTTCACATCTTCCACTGAAGATCTTTCTACTAAGAAATCAGCTCTTACCTCCTATCAGTGACATCAAACAAAACAAACAAGAACAATTATGGCAAATTCCATGGTCACTTACATGTATAAAGACTAATCAAAACTATAGATAACTTCTACAGTTTTGACTTAAAGAACTCAGTATGAAGTGAGGATATGAGTCCAAACGTTGAGTAGGGAAGGGGGTGTTAAACTTTTGTCCTGTGCTCTTACTCAGGACTCTGTGGCTCCTACAACAATAGAGCAGAGGATGATTTCATGTCAAGTCAGAATATATTGGAGAAGTCGTCTCAGGCTTTTGCTGATTCTTGGGAAATGATGTCCTGTCCTAAAGGAAACCCAGCTTCATGCATCAGCATAGAAACAGGTAATGTGAATTAAATGCCAAACTCTGTAGTTAAATATCGGGTGCTAGGAATTATATGCTTATTCTGGTAATGATAGGACTCCATCTGATAAATCTGGTTTTAATTGGTGTTTGGTGTATTGTCCCATGATTAGAGAAAACATTAGAGAAACTGGCTGGCTGAGGGCATTTCTAGCAAACACATCTTTCACAGGGAATGGGCGGGTCATCTCAGTTGTCATTTTCTATATCCATTTTTTCCCTTTCTTAATCAGTTTTCTCCATGATTATAGAATAATAGGGTAGAAGAGACTTTATAGATTATTTGGTTTATTAAACAAGGCCCATGGAAATGATCATTGCTTGAAATTGTTAACAGTGAGCCACTTAACAATAGAGCTGTAGCCAGATCCAGCTCTCCCAGCCACTGCTATTAAATATATTAGTTATACTAAACCATTTATCTTATTAAGGAAATTACACAGGGTGACGGGTGAAATGAGAGGTGTTGTGGTGGCTTCATTTACCCAACTTGTTAACAAAGACATAAATTTATATTTTAAATTAAAAGACACAAAATAAATAATCTGGTTCTCTTTTTGCCATTTATGTATATAAACTGCATCTCTGATTAGCTGATTTTATATAAAATTCCAAAGCTAATGAAGATTTTTTCCTCTTTGGTTTTAAAGTGTCTCTGATTATATCATGCTATTTTTTAAATAGTGAAAACAAATTCAACTTATTGTAACAAAAACACTATAAAATACAATTACTTAAATAAAGAAACTTTGTTAACATTTGTACTTTGTCTTGTAATTAAAAATATAAAGTTATTAATATAATTTTGGGGTGTCTTAATTTTCTTTCAGAACGGTTTGCTGAAAAGCAATGTGGAATCCTTCTTGATTCAAGTGGGCCTTTTGCTTCCTGCCATCCATATGTGAACCCTAAACCATATCATGAGGTATGTGAGGGTCTATTGGTAACAACTTTTAAAGGAAATACATTGTTAATATAAAAAAAATCTTGTAGATATTTAAAAATTTTAAAAGCAACCATTGACAGTAGATGAAGATATGTTTAAATGTAACATTGGACTCTACTAATTTATTCAATTGTTAAATATACCAATTTTAATTAAAAATGTGGTCCAAAAAATGAGTAAAATCTTGAATGATGTTCTCTTTCTGTCTTCTCTAAGTTCTTTGAAAACTCAGTTAATGATTGATATACCATCTTGCAAATTTTTAAAAAGAAATATTTCCCAAAGTTTCAAAAAAAAATGTTTATTCAGGGAAGCAGAGTGGTTTTGAACTGAAGCATCACACTCAGTTTATCTTTTCTTCTGACTATATTCCTAGAGTAATATAATTTGTTTTTATTTTAAAGGAATGCAAAAAATACACTTGTGCTTGTGAAGATAGTCAAGAATGCCTGTGTACAATCTTAGGCAACTATGTGAAAACATGTGCTGAGAAAGAAACACACATGGAGGAATGGAGAACTGGACGATGCGGTAAGAAGGATGAAGGCTTCAGATAATTCTTCCTTCTCAATTTTAAGAGAGAGAGAAAGAGAGTTTAGTCCCATATGTTAACAAATTTGTATTAGATTCTTTCAAAGAGAATTTTCTGTTTCTACTACGGAACAGATGTTTAGTTGACAGAAGTGTGGTTTAAAACAATGTACCCCTGGTCCTGGGCAGGGGAGGATGATCTTCAGGCACTGGTGTGGCATTTCCGAAATCAGTATGATGTTAGGCAGAAGGAACTATAAAAATCTTCATTGCCCTGATACTACATTTACACTTTTGGGGAAATATACCAAGGAAAACAATAACAATTTAAAAATATTAATAGTGCACATTTCTGTTCTTTAATTGTATTGATTACTCAAGATCCATGTCCTCCCTTTTTTTTGAAATAAAATTCTGATATTTCTTTGGGAATCTGCTCCATCTTCGTTGGAATAAATCTAATTAGAATTACCAATCAAAGCAACTCAGCCTGCTGAAGGACAAGGGGTTAGCATGTGATTTAAATATGGTCACTCAGTGCCTATGTGTGTGTGTGCATCTTTGTCTCAATATGTATACATATAAAATACTTTATCTTTGAGCAATCCTTTCATTTTTACTTCCTTATTTATTTCCTATCTTGATTTAATATGTTCATATTTAAACAGAACAGAATATGTATATATTTATGCATAAATATACATTTCTGTTCAATCATTATCTGCCAAAATTTAAATAATGTTCTGACTCCTACTGCATTTCTAAGTCAGAGTCAAATGTTTAAAAACCTATTTATTAGAAACTGAATAAAATTAAATCAGTAAACTCTCAACTATCATCTATAAAACCTTGCTTTGTTTTAAAATACTGCACTATTTGAATGCAACTTTAGAAAGTACTCAATTGACAAAAATAACGTTTTGTACAAAGGCATCTCATATAGATCATACTTAAAATCTCATAGTCGATATGCAGTCAATCAATAAGTTCTTTCTCTAAAATCCATTCATATCACTTCATCTTTATTGCCATCAACCTAGTCTGAGAGACCATGATTTTTTCTCCTGAGTGACTGCAATAGCTTCCTTCACTTTCTCTCTTAGTTCCTCTAATCCATTTTCTACAGAGAAGTCAGTGTCATCTTTAAAGAAAACCAATAAAGCAAAACCGATTGTGTGGCACTCAGTCTAACACAAGGCAGGGGCTGGTCCTGGCTCTAAAACACCAAACTGCCTAAGAGGGCCCTGTGGGTTCTAACTGCTGACTCAGGGTCTTTATAAGAACTTCCTCCTCTTCTAGCTTAGGCTGTTGCCCAGACATAGAATTACCTCTCTCAGCGGCCTTCATGCTGTCCCTCCTCTTCACCAAGAGCAGGTTCTGGCTGCACACAGCACGTAACAAAAGGGTCCTTTCCCCAGCAACGTAATCCACTTGAGAGTAGTGTTTACCACTCTTGTTTATGGGCTTTATCCCCAGCAAAATATGCAAACATATAGTAGGGACTTAGTATTAACTGGGAGAGAGGGGGGAGATAAACAATGAATGAGTACTTTTTCTTGAGTTTTTAAAAATAATCTCAATTATGGCCCAGCCAGTGTGGCTCAGTGGTTGAGCGAGGACCTAAGAACCAGGCGGTCATGAGCCCGCACATGATGGGTTGCAGGCTTGATCCCCAGTGGGGAGCATGCAAGAGGAAGCCGATCAATGATTCTCTCTCATCATTGATGTTTCTATCTCTCTCTCCCTCTCCCTTCCTCTCTGAAGTCAATAAAAATATATTTAAAAATCAACGATGAACAATTTACTATAATATCTATAAACATCAAGTTGAAGTAAAGATGCTAATTTTTCTGAATATGTACATGTTCACTCTCTACCGACAGATCACTCTTGTCCCAGTGGCTTCGTTTTCAAGTACAACGTAAAAGCCTGCAACAGTTCTTGCCGGTCCCTGTCAGAGAGGGATAGGAGCTGTGACATAGAAGATGTCCCAGTAGATGGATGCGCTTGCCCTGATGGGATGTACCAGGATAATGAAGGAAATTGTGTTTCAAAGTCTCAGTGTGACTGCTACATGAATGATGAGGTCATAAAACCAGGCAAACTCATCCAGATCAATGACAATAAATGGTATGGAGATCACACATACACATATATATATATTTGTTGCAGCTTTGAAATCCAGGGATTGTCCTTTTCAGACAATCAAATAGTCTCTTGCTAGCATGATGTCTTCTTTAGACCTGTCACATCTTTTATTTTCTATTTGTGAGTAAGGTTGGTTATTGATACCCTTTACCAGGAGTGTCCTTTGCATCGTCATGGCTGTAACCAATCTCTCCTATTGTTGTTTGGTTTTAAATACCAGTAGAAGAATATTTTAGCAGCTCCAACCTGCACACTATGTAAAAATGAGTTCCCATTCAGGCAATGCTTTCTAGTTGTCTCTCAGCATTCATTCAACAAACACATCAAATATATATTTACTGTGTGCCAAGCCTTGTGCTTACTGCAACTGTTGCGAAGATGAATGAACATCTTGGAATCACAGAGCAAGCAGGGTACTGACTCTTGGGAGAATCAAGCTTTCTCTGATGTCCATATAACATTGTTTGTACATGCCTCTCATACACCCAAGGCTATATCTTATATTTTTGTTCATTTGCACTTTCTGAGGACTGTGCCTCATTCATACTACCACATGCGCTTAAATGGGTGGTTCATGGATGAGGGGTTACAGTTATTGTAACAGGGTATTGCGATTTTGTTACTGAAATTCGATGTTTAAACGCATCATTTTCTTTTCTGTCCAGTGTCTGTCGGGATGGAATTCTTCTTTGCCAGAATCCCATTGATTTAACCCGCCGCCGTAAGTGTTGAGATCATAGCGAAGGCTTATGCTACCTCTTTTGGTTAAAATGAAAATAAGTAAATAAAATAAACAGATCAAGAGGCCCTTGATTAATGCCTTCCTTTATCCTGCAGAGAATTGCCCTGGAGGGGCTGAATATGTTGACTGCAGTGATCCCAACGCAAAGAAAAGAGTTGACAGTACATGTAGCACCCGGAACATACCTAATTTTGGGGTAAGTGGCATGGCATCAGCGTTTAGCTCTTTAGAGCTTTTCATTGTGTCAGTGCAGAAGGAACTAAAATGCAGACCAAAAAAATAAATAATTACAAGGTCATATTATTTATCGCTTGTTTATTTTGACTTGTCCAATGTTGACACTAAATGCATGCCTGGTACATCAATGTATGAAAATGAGTGCTTAGAGCAATGCCTTTTGATGTGTGTTTTGTACTTGTTTCTGTAGGAGGACTTGCCTTGCAAGCGTGGGTGTTACTGTCCAGTAGGAATGGTCCGAGATTCCAAAGGGAACTGTGTCTTTCCTGATGATTGCCCTTGTTCTTTTGGTGGACGAGAGTACAGCCAAGGAAGTGTCACCTCAGTTGGCTGCAACAAATGGTGCCTAACGATTGCTATTTTTTTTTGGGGGGGTGTGTGTGTGAGGGGATTGTAAGAAGTGTACTGTCTGCCCTTATTTTTATGGGAGAGAAAAAGTCATACTTTGGGATATTTCAAAAATAATAAGAAAAAGTCATACTTTGGGATATTTCAAAAATAATAGTCGAATGTATTTATAACAATGCTATATCTTTAAATGGAACTTTATATAACAGCATATATGATGACCATCGTAAAATATAATGAAGACAATTACAAAATTTAAGTCCACAGAAAAAACTGTTTTATGCTTTTATACAAAAACAGTATGCACAGATACATCTTGGAATAATACAATTGATATACACTCTATAATTGTTTTCTTTTAGTACTTGCATAAAAGGATCTTGGGAATGTACACAAAATGAATGTCAAAGTACCTGCCACATCTATGGGGAAGGTCATGTTCAAACTTTTGACAAAAAAAGTTACAGCTTTGATGGTCTCTGCCAGTATTCCTTTGTTGAGGTAACTGCAAGTGTTTTGCCACAGTTTTTCTATTATATATATCTTATTTATTATTTTTTGTATATAAGCTCTGGATTATTTTATTATGAAAATGTGAAAAAAATACTTTAAATTCACCTTACCTGTTTCTCAAAGACAATAAAATGTAACAAAGTAATGTGACTCTGAAGGCAGTCCTCCTGGATTTGAATCCTGGCTCTGCCATTCCTCACATGTGTGACTTTGGGCACATCCCTTAACCTTTCTGTGCCTCAGATCCCTTATCAATAACACGGGACTGGAAACAGTCCTTACTTGAAAAGAAATTAGAAAAAATATTGGACCACATAAGAACTGCTTATTAAATGTTAGATATTTTTTTCAAGAACAGCACTATGTGTTACAATAGCATTTTATGAGTGCTTCTTTGCCAAGCAAACTTATGTATTTTATTCATTTAATCATTATGATATTAAGAGGCTGATAGTATTCCTACGATTAAGCTGAAGAAATGAAGGTTAGAAAGGATAAGCAATGTAAATTGCTAAGTAGACAATGCCATATTCAAACCTTATCTGATTGATTCCAGAGTTTGTTACATACAACTAAGCTCCTTCACCAATAACATCTAATGGGCGAAATTTAATTGTTGGTATTGATTAGTTTTAATTGAATATTAATTTCATGTAAATCACTGGAAAAAAAAAACATACCTTTACCTACTTACAGCACCCAGCTATAAATTTATGATTACAAACTTTTATAACTTAAATACTTACTTATTTATAACATAATTCTTAACCTGAATAGAAGAAATGAGAAAAGGCTGAGTCAAAGAGAGGTAACTAGTTTGCACTTAGCCAGGTGACCATTGTCTTTTGGGAATTCTGTAACATCCCATGATAAATTACCAGCTTATGGTAATTTGTTGAGTTTAAGGTGTCACTGAGTGAGCTGTTTGTCTGGTACAAATATTGCCGTTGAGTTCCACATTCTTGATATTCATAAACTTACCATAATTTAATTTCAAAGGATTATTGTGGCGGTGAAAATGGCACATTCCGCATTTTAACTGAAAGCGTCCCTTGCTGTGAAGATGGGCTCACGTGCTCAAGAAAGATCGTAGTTGCTTTTCAGGTACAGTGCCATTTCTCTTTATTTCCATTTCCTCTCAGATTGTGATTGGCCAAATAAAAGAGATTTAATTGTGAGCATATGTTTTTATTTACAGGATCAGAATGTTATCTTGCAAGATGGCAAAGTAACAGCCATCAAAACGTCGGAAAGTAAGGAGTGTGAACTCAACGGAAATGCGTACACTGTGCATACCGTTGGCCTGTACTTGATTCTGAAGTTTGCCTCTGGAATAACCGTGATTTGGGACAAAAACACAAGAATGACTGTTATATTGGAGCCATACTGGAATGTATGTACATCACTAATAAGTACTTAATTGGGAAGCGAAATAATTTCTGTTACTGAGAATTATGCACATATTTGTAGATAGAAAGTGGGAGGAGGGTAGTCTCTGATATAGCACAAACCTCCCACATATGTTCAATCTGCATGCAGTGTGAACTATAATGAAAGATAATTGAATCCGGTTAAAATAAATGTAATAAACCTGAGGCGCTTTAGTTTAAGCACGGTTGGTAATTTGAAATTATTGCATCATTCACTTTTGAGGTAGTTGATGTATAAATAGAATTAGATGTATTCCTGAGAGCAAATATTCTAACAACCTAGGGGGATTCTCATGTACCTTTAGAAGCTCGTGAATATAATAATGTTTTAATTCTTAAGTCATTTATCTTACTTGATACTAGATCATTTTACAATATAGGGTTTCTTGGATTAAATGGAGCAGAATCTTATCCACAAACTCTTTTCAAAATTTAAAATTTTAAATAATAGATTAATGATTATAATATATATGTATGTCATTGCCCATCTAGCTCTATATATGTCCCTCGTACAACTTCACTTTCAATTTTCCCTTTCTGCTCTCATCTCCCTATATATTTACACACCTGTGTGTCTATATCCCTAACAACTTCCCATTAATTTCCCTCTCTGATGTATATAGGGCAAGGTGTGTGGTCTTTGTGGAAACAGCAACGGGGATCTCAAGGATGATTTCACCACACGACACTCCTCAGTAGCTACCGGAGCACTGGAGTTCGGAAATAGCTGGAAGACGTCTCAAGAATGCTCGGACACCGTGACCCAAACTTTCCCATGTGACTCCAACCCCTACTGCAAGGCTTGGGCTGTGCGCAAATGCGAGATCATCCGGGACAGCACCTTCAGGGAGTGCCACAGCAAGGTAGTGCTGCTCTGAGGGTGGGGCCTGCCCCGGGGTGCCCGCCCCGGGGTGCCCAGACACTCACGCCCTGTGCTCTGCCCCAGGTGGACCCCACCACTTACTACGATGCATGCATGGAAGAGGCCTGTGCGTGCGACATGGAGGGCAAGTACATGGGATTCTGCACGGCCGTGGCCATGTATGCGGAGGCGTGCGGCGCGGTTGGGGTCTGTGTCCCGTGGAGAAAGCCCGACCTCTGTCGTAAGTGGAGCCCACAAATTGTCCTTTAAAATCATACTTAGGTAGAGTTGTTTTGTTAGGTAATCATTCCTCTCACAATTTCTCCCTATATATACTACAAATTACTTATAAACTCTATTATGTATATCTATCTATATAAAATCTTGTACTTAGAAAGGTTTAAAAACATATGAATAAGTCATAATGGGAAAATACCCTTTTAAAGAAAAACATAGCAACCTAGCATACCACATGAAATTCAATGTTACGTGCAGAAGTTCTTGGTTTTGCAGGGGGAGGAAGTTGAAGACTGATGGGAAATACCTCATTAAAACTTAGATGGACAATAAACTGTTCACATAACCTGTTATAGTCACAAGTCCTTAAGAACTTATGTCATATGTCACTATTAATTAGAGTCCTCACTCTTTATCATCAAAACTTTTGTAGAGCCCTAGTCAAGATACACTGTAAGATAAATGTAAACTGGATCTTGATATATATGGAAAGTGGTAATTTTAATAGGAATTAGTCAACTCTTCCTTCTAAAGGAAGGTATCATGAGAAAATATGACAAATGAGCAATGTTAAAATTGAATCCTCATTTTATTCAGTTTATTATGCTCAGCTCTATATAATATTAAAATATTTAGTTACCTCATTTGGGAACTGCTATTTACATATTTTAAAAAGCCTAATTTTTGCATAGATTTATTTTTCTAATTTAAATTTTGAACATTAAAACTGTGAATCTAGTCTATGACCTGAATTATCTCAAAATGGGAAAATTAATATTACTTTCCCACCCAAAACCAACCTGAATGCTAGATGTCAAAGAAAAGTGTTATTATGATTCTATTTGCTTTTTGTGTGTGTGTGTGTGTGTGTGTGTGTGTGTGTGAACTTCTATAATAATTTGGATAAACACAAAGGAAGTTGATAAGACAGAATGGCTTACTTTTGATCTGTTTATTGTAATATCATTCAAATTCCTTTTTAAAACTACTTGGGGAAGTGAAAGTGAAAGTTGTCACCTAACAAGAGGAAGTAATTGGCTATAATTCGGTTACAGCTGTCTACTGTGATTATTATAATGCCCCTGGAGAATGCAGCTGGCATTATGAGCCTTGCGGGACAGTGACTGCAAAAACATGCAAAGATCAAGTTATTGGCCAGAAATTTTCTGCACTTTTAGAAGGTAAGGTGAATTTTATAATATCCATGAAGTACTACAAATTATATTGATATTTTAAAGTTGGATGCCCAGCTGGCATGGCTTAATGATTGAGTGTTGACCTAGGAACCATGAGGTCATGGTTTGATTCCCAGGTTGCAGGCTCAATCACCAATAGGGGACGTGCAAGAGGCAGTGGATCAATGATTCTCTCTAATTATTGATATTTCTAGCTCTCTCCCCCTCCCCTTTCTCTCTGAAATCAATAAAAATATATTTAAAAAGACCCAAAACTTGAAATTGTTGTTAGCTCCTGAAAATTTAGTGTCCTACACTTTGTAATTTAATGATTAGTTATCTTTATTATGACATTAATATTTCTACATTGAAAATATTCTCTCTAGATGTACATGATCTGTTTCAAGAGAGAGAGAGAGAGAGAGAGAGAGAGAGAGAGAGAGAGAGAGAGAGAGAGAGAGAGAGGAGAGGGAGGGAGACAGAGAGAGAGGAGATCCAGTGCTACAATCCCATTGCCCATTGTCATTTTTAAGAATGTGCTGTCATTTTGCTATTCTCTGCTTTAGCTCCTGAAATCATTTAAGTAACTTCACGACTCTATAATTTGGTGTGATCTATAGTTTCAGTACATAGAGACCAACTGTGTGGGTCATTTCCACTCACAGGTTGTTATGCTAAGTGCCCGGAGAGCGCTCCTTACCTGGATGAGAACACCATGAAATGCGTCAAGTTATCTGAGTGCAGCTGCTTCTACAATGATGTCATCCCAGCAGGTGGAGTGATCAAAGACAACTGTGGAAGAACCTGGTACATTCTCTCCTTACTTTCTAATAAGCAATTCTGTTTCTTGCATTTTAATTTGGAAAAGAAACCAAGAAATAAAAATATATATGTAATTTTTAATTCATTTCTAAAGAAAAAGGCCAGCTTTAGTTTTACATCAGTTCAGTTAGTTATTTTATATATTCAGTAATCCCACATATCAGCAAATGGTTTGTTAAATCTTATATCAAATAATGCAGAAGAAAAGAAAAAAATGTCAGTATATAGTTTTAGGTAAAACAAAAGTTTTGTTTCTATAAATGTAAGATCATGTCAAAAGCCTTTCAGACAGAGACATGGAAGCAAAGAAGCTACGTCGTGTTTGATACTGAAAGAGGGAGAACTAATTCTACAGCTTGAGTGCAAGGCATTCTTTTAGGTCCCAAGAACTCCTTAGGGAAATGATTAGAAATAACAGTATGTGAAAAAACAAACAAACAAAGCAAGCAATTTGAATCAATACCACGCTTTTTGGGGAAAGAATGGTTGACTGTTCTCTTATTTGTTCCTGTTTTGATTTTCACTGGTAGACAGTTTGTTGTTTTACATTTTGGAGATGCATGTCACTAGGAGTTAAAAATGTCAATCTCATTATTATTCTTTAAACATTAACTTTCAGCTATTGCATCGCAGGAGAGTTGGAGTGCAGTGGTGAGTCATTGCATTTTACTGTAATTGATTTAGGGAAGACTAGATAAAGGTCTGGGATCTTCTCAGTTCATCAGCAAAAGAAGAATAGGTGCATAATGCTACCTGCTGCCCCTCAGTGAATGGAGGCCATTCATTCCATTGCAGTGTGTTTGATGATGTTGGGTCAGTTCAAACCCAATGCTGCCAAGTCACTGCGAACACTGTCATGCAGGTGGTTCTTCTGTTGCATGGGTGCTCTGCCTCTTTGTAGGTTCTGGGAATTCAGGGAGTGAGACATCAGCCAAAATAGTTGAATAAATGGTGGGGTGGCAAGTGTGGATTGATACAGATACAATTAAATAATAGAAGGATCGCTCATGAGCGACACATCTTAAAAATAAATCCAATGAGCTTCTAAAGAACACATGAGCTACTCTTTTGTGTACTAGAAAATGTAAAGAGTAAGATACAAAAGACGCAACCCATAAGCAACTTGAGATTTAAATTTATTTATAGTTTTGCATTAATAATAATAACTTATTATTATTTCAGAAACTGGTTCTGAAAATGCAACAGTTACAGGTAAAATCATCATTGTTTTAAATATGTATTTCTGATTTGTTTTGTGGATAACTTTTATAGTTTTAGATGAATCTGCGTAGGAAAAAGATAGGCTGATAAGTCTGCTGATATAAAAATTTCAAATTAAAATTAAGTTACTTGAAAATACGTCAAAATATTATTTCATTATATTCCTGTGAATTAAGTTAGAAATATGATTAGGACATACAATAGATATTGTTTGCTTGTTAGCTAAAAACATAATTTAAAGCTTGACATTTTAAGGAAATAATTGGAATAAATGGAATGAAAAAGAAGTAAATGTGGTCTTCCATGAAGTAAATAGTTTAAAATCATGATGATACTGGGAGATCATTTGAAAACATAGAAATAAAAAGTTTTCTTTTTCTTAGCTTACATATTTGCTGTAAGCTATAAGAGCATTTCAGTTATGTCCATTCCAGGGAGTGCTGGGCAAAATGCAATTTCACTGTAGCTTGTGGACTTTTAATTTATTGGCAATCTAAGAATTTGAGTTGCTGCAGTATACTTTCCTATTCCTTCTTGTGTGATTCAATGAGGGCTTTTATTTCCTGTTGATTGATATTTGGAGGTAGCACAGTAAATTAGAAACCTTAGGTTTTGATAATATTTATAAAGTTATGTGATAATTGGTAAAATGCTATTTACATTTTAGTTAATATTGGTTACCTACTTAACACTAAGGTTATTATATATATTAAGGTTCTAATATCAAGGTTCTAAACTTTATTTTTTCACCCATATAAGGCTCCTATGAGATTTTAGTTAAGATACTAACCAAAAATAATTAGTTACTTTGGTAGACTTGCAATAAATATATACGGTAGTGATCTTTTGATTTAAATGAAAGATTGTTTTTTCACTTAATCTTTACACATAATTTCAGAAATTTATTATTAATTTTATGGCAATTTGTTTCTTTAACTAAATTTCCCAGCAAAAATGATTCAAGTAACAATTGTCTTCCCTAAACAGTTTCTACTACAACAGCTACCTCCAGATTAAGCACCACAACAGGTAAAACATAAATGCTTATTTGTTTTTTAACTTCTAAATTTGCAACAACCTGAATTTGCCATTTAAGCATTTTGGCCCTATTTTCAAATATGTATGTATGTATGTATTTATTTATTTATTTATTTCATAAATGCCAAATAGTATGTTCAACATCTAAATTGTAATATGAGTAAAGAAGCATCTCTTTTTGGAGCTGATGTGTCCTAAAAAGAACCTTCCCCATATTACTAATTTGGGAAAAGTGGCTACTAAAGAAAACTCTGTTAAATTCTTTGAAAATAATTTACTATTTCTTTTTTCCTAGCACCAAATAACTTTAATTAAAGCGGTAACCAGTAGAGTACAAAAATATATTAATATGTGTGAATATCTGATAAATAAGTTACATTTAATTTATTTGCATTCTAGAAATACAACATGTCTTTCAACACCTTTTTAACATATATTTTAAAATATTTCTTTCCTCCTTTGTATAGAAATTCCATTGTCAACTAGAAGCTCAGGCACAGGTAAGCCATAATATAGAACCACACCTTAATCAAGAGGGCATTAAAAAATTCAAAACTTCCCTTTTCTGTAGTATTTAGGGGGAATTTTTGTTTATTTTATTATTTTTAAAATGTCTTAGATGAAGAGTTCAGAAAAATGTTATACAAAATAAGGTGGTTTTTTTTTGTTTTGTTTTTTGGTTTTTTTTACCATTTACATGTTTACTATAGATTTTAAAACTTTAATTTCACATTTTAACATCCATTCAGTTATATGATCAAACTTATCCAAAACATTCATTTTGACCCACTTTTCATATGACCATAGATGTTCTCAGAAACAATTTCCCCTCTACATAAAAGTAATTTTTTTCAATTTTTTTCTTTAATTCAGCAACGTTCATTCCAGAGATTACAACATCAAGCAGTGAGACAATAGGTAGGTGAATTAGAAAGCCTATAAAATGACAACATATTTTATAAGTAATAAAATTGTTTTATCTCAATTTACTTATTAGAATTAACATACCCAGTATCCAATATTTATGACCTTTTCTTCCTCCAACTTCACACTATTTCTTTTCCTCCTATAATTTCTTTCTTTCCTCTAATCTACATATACATATACTTAAATCCACGATATTTTTATGGAGGTATAATTGACATATAACATTATATTAGTTTCAGGTATATAACATAATGATTCAATATTTATATATATTGAGAAATGATTGCCACTGTAAGTCCAGTGAATATCCTTGACAGCAGAGACATGGTTTGCCATTTCTGTATTCCCAATTGCACCCAACGCTAATCTATATAATAGTTAACTTTCAATATTTTTTCAGGTTAACAAAGATCAGAAGAAAAAGATATTTTTTTTTCTGGTATAATGTAGAGAGATATCAGGGTTGTTGAGATATGAAGGGAATGCAGCTCTTTGCTATGATCTGGTTCCCTGGGTAAAGTACTTTTGATCAAATACTGGATCAAACACTTCTCTGAATTAAGTACTTTTCACTGGCAATTACTTTTTATTTATTTGTTTATTTATTTTTACCAAAACTTGAAAAGATTAAATAAAATATTTTAAAGTTTCTTTCCATAAATCTAACAGTGTAGAGATTCTTCAGAAGACTGTATGACCCAGCAATTTTACTACTTGACATCTTATACAAAGGAAACAAAAACATTAATTCAAAAAGATATATGCACCTCTATGTTCATGCACCACTATTTACAATAGCCGAGATTTGGAAGCAATCTAGGTGTTCATCAAAAGATGAATGGATGAAGAATGAAATATTAAAAAAGAACGAAGTCTTGCCATTTGTGACAATATGGATGGACCTTGATGGTAGTATGCTAAGTGAACTCAGACAGAGAAAGACAAGTACCATATAGTTTTACTTATATGTGGAATCTAAAACAAAACAAGTAAACAAACAAAACAAAGATAAATTCAGAAACAAAGGGATGGCTACAAGAGGGAAGAGGATGAGGAGGTGGGTGAAAACAGTGAAGGGCAATATGGTCAGTATTATTATGATAAGTTTGCACAGTGACAAATGGTCATTATAATTAGTGAAGTGATCACATTGTAAGATATAAAAATGTTGAATCACTATATTTTCACCTGATATTAATATAACTAATATAATATTGTATCTCAACTATACTTAAAATTTAAAAAAAAGATAATAATGAAACTCTGGAATAGTGATTCTAAATATACCCTGTCTTCCCAAATAAACAAACAAGCACATAAAAAATTATCTTGCTCAGATGATCAAAGGCATTACTGTCAAATAGAAGAAGAAATGACTAGGTCCTCAAGAGAGGATTGATGGCTCATTTGACTTTATACTCGAGCATCTTGGGTAGAAGTTGAGGTATGATTTCATTGTTGAGCCTATCATTGAGGTACATAGCATAGGATTAAAGTGCACTTTTGATGAAATTAGAAAAACATTATAGAAATATCTAAAAGCATACGGGAAGCAATGTACAAAAGCTTAAGCTTTTTTCATGTTTTACATATCCATTTGCTTTTTCATATAGTAAATGCTTAAAGGGTTAAAATATCATGAGAGATGCCTACCCAACCATTCCAATTAAGTATGCTATTTTAAGAAGAAATATATGCAGTTCTATTTTCCCCCCCTGTTTAAATTGACAGATCTTGACACAGAGCTAACATTTACTGAGCACTGTTCTAAGTATGTGACACATATTATCACATTTGGTACAGAAAACTCTATGAAGTGGGTCCCATGAAGTACAAAGAGGTAAAGGTATATATGGAGTTCCTTGCTAATAAGGAGCAGAAAGAGGATTAAAATTTAGGACATCTTTTTCTAGATTCTATTCCTAATACTTCTATGTTTAAGAAAGAGAATAAAGTTTAATTTAAATCCATTATTGAAGTAGCATAAAATTACAGATTCCAATTTTAAAATAGACTAGTGTCATAGTCCTAGGTACAATGTGACTTAGATTTTAGTCTCAGTTTTGTCTCTGACTAGCAGTGGTCTTGAATAAGTTACTTCATTTTTCTGAGTCAAATTATTTTTTTAAATATATTTTATTGATTTTATACAGAGAGGAAGAGAGAGGGAAAGAGATTAAAAAACATGGATGAGAGAGAAACATCTACCAGCTGCCTCCTGGACACCTCCTACTAGGGATGTGCCTATAGCCAAGGTATATGCCTTGACCAGAATTGAACCTGGGACCTTTCAGTCCTCAGGCCTAAGCTCTATACACTGAGCCAAACCAGTTAGGGCTGTGTCCAATTCGTCATATGTAGAATAGTTACAATACTGTTATTCCATTCATTCATTCAGCCATCCATTCATTCATTCATTCTGTTGACAAATACTTACCAAACATCTATTATGTGCTAGATACTCTAATATTATTAGAGATATAAAGATGAGTTAAAATAGACATGCTTCCTGCATTCATAAAACCTATAGTCTAGTCAGGATATCAATTAAGTAATTACAAAAACACATAAAAGCTTGCATAAAGAGCTGTGAAGTGATTCGAATGTGGGTGAAGAGGGTAGAGCAGGGGTTTGATTAAGTCAAGATGGTCAGAAAAGGCTGAAGTAAAGATGGCTGATTTGAGAACTGACCAATAAATAGTAAGTAGACAAAAAGGAGGGAAACTGTGTTCCAAGTATAGAGAAGTAAAAATAACAGGTATAAAAGACTGAAGGAAGGCCAGTGTGGCTGGACAGAGTGAGAATTAAATAGAGAGACTGTGTGAGAAATGTATTTTTTTTCTTCTTTTTTAAGTTACAAAACACTATAAAATTGTAAAGGGATATAACCACAAAAACAACAGTTTTCCAAAGATTCTCGATAGAAATTAAGACTGAAAATACAGAAAACAGCCGACTCTTAATTATTGAGGAAAGCCAGAAATTAATAAAGTCTTATTTTTAACTCCACAGACCCCTCTCAACAAACATTTTATAAACTCCTACCGCCTTTTTGCCAATAGAATATGTATTGGAGATGCAAAGATGAAAACATGGTCTTTTTCTTTAGGAGCACATTGGGCATTTCAAATTTATCTCCACAGATCTGCTTTATCAAATCATTAAAAAATTCCTCAAAAGTGTAATTCTTCCTCTTACCCCAAACCCTAACAGGCTAAATTCTATTTTGTAGAAAATTATTGGAGGCACAGATAATCAGAAAGAGAGAGAATTGAAAGAAACAAATAGTAAAATCAGCCTCTGCTTAATAAAGAATTAACTTGTCATCAAGAATTTACAGGAGTGGAAAAAGAAATAAATAATAATACAAGAATAAATTCTTTTACATACTCACAACTATAAACCTACTGTTGCTCACTCCTGCATATTTATACCATTTATTCTGTATTTAGTAGAATTCAACATATGTCTATGTGTATTTTATACACATAAATTGAAATGTATGTTATAATGTCATTATTTAAAAATAAAATAAAATCTTATTACTCTCAACACTAAATACATTGCAAACAACTATCTATTAAAAATTAACAAGGGTCCATTCTTTCTGTATTTTCCCTTGAAGTCAGAAAAATTCACAATATATCTCTTTCTCTTATCAGGAACAACTCTAACTCTACCCAGTGAAGCTTTTACTACAGGTCAGAATATTAATTCCTGACTTTTATATGTTAAAAATAGCTAGTAGTATAAATTACTAGTAACTTTGGATTTCTAAGAAAAAAAATTTATATAAGAATTTAACTTTTGGAAAAATATTACCAACAAATAGTTTACACTGGACTTTTCCCACTGGTTTTTAACTCTCTAAAAATGAATTTAACTTGTGTTTGGCCAGTTTATATTGATTAATTATTTTATTCCTTATTATTAACTATTAATATAATATCTACAATAGCACTAAATAATATCAAGTTTATTAAAAAAAAAAAAAAGAATCCTATATAATAAAAGGCTAATGTGCAAATCAATCAAATGTTGGAACAACTGGTTGCTATGACGCACACTGACCATCAGGGGGCAAATGCTCACTGCAGGTCAGTGTACTCCCTCCATGAGGCAGTGCTAAGGATGTCCAACTGCTGGCTTAGGCCCGTTCCCCTGCAGTCGAACATCCCCTAAAGGCTCCCAGACTGTGAGAGGGTGCAGGCTGGGCTGAGGGACCCCCTGAGTGCACAAGTTTTGTGCACCACACCTCTAGTATAAGATAAGAGAAAGCGTATATATAAAAATATATTGTGTTCTTTTAGGTGTTTTAAGTGTAAAAGTACAATTAGCTACTTGGTGATGTTACTTCATCATTGTTATTACATCCCTGAATGACAGTGTGATTAGGTTCCATTTCTTTGAAAGCAACCTTGTTGAGACAAAAGTATGCAAACTTAGTGTGACCCCATTATAAATGCAGAGAACATGACTGTTTTTTTTTTAAAGAAAAAAATAGCAAGGACTAAACCAAAAGCTTAGAGGAAAGTGTAATCAAACTAGCCGAGAGGGAGTTCCTGCCCACCCGTGCACAGCAAGCCAATGAGAACTGACACCAGGATTTTCAGCGAAGAAATAGGCGTAATTTTATTGGGATGGCACCACCCAGGAGAAGGGGGAGCTGGTGCTCAAAATCCCAACTTGCCAATGACTGACAGACAAGAGGTTTTAATAGAACAAAAATTATGAATAAGGGGCTTAAGGTGGTGAGGCTCGCTGATAGGTCCTTGATTTATGTAAGCAGTTAATTTTCATCTTCCACAAGTTTACTGCCCTCCTTGCATCCTCTAATCTGATCTCAGAGAGACTGACTGTAGTAGGGAGGTTATTCCACCTTGTGGGCTGAAAACCATCTTAAAAAATCGTGTCAATAGATTACCTTGGTGCGCAGGGGTGAAAACTGTGCATCCTGGGGCCCCTTTGTCATCTACCGCCTAGCAGGTCCCTGTCTGAGCATTCTCTCTAATGGTTAACATGGTGCTATGTGGCTTCCTTCTTGTGGCTGTTAAACTAGCTTACAAACCTATTTTGTATTAAAGATATTTTTGAGGGTGTTAACACTCTAGCTTCAAAAATAATACCAGAAAAATATCGTAGGGAACTCTGGGTGGAAAGTACTGGGTTCTTGATTGGATTTTCTATGCTAGGAATTGACTGGACAGTTAAATCACCCATTGGCAGCAAAGCCCAAGTTTACTTGAGCTGAGTTCATTTCCTGTTTTTCTCAGGCATTATGGGTACTCCATTTCCCATCACCTTCACATCTGGAAGTGCAGGCACCACTGGAGTAGTGGGTCCCCTCTTCACCAGTCCTTGGCACGTATCAGGTACATTAAGTCCAGAACAGAGTACACAACCACATCTAAGCAACTGGTTTTAGGCAGTGCTGCTCAGTACAATATTTTACAGCATAAAAATAGCTGGCTTAGATGTTATATCAGATGTAGGTGTTCTTTTTAAATTTTTTAAAATAATTATTTATTGTTAAAAGCACCACATATGTCTGTCCCCCTTTTTTATATTTCTTTTTTTTTTTTAATTGTTTAAAGTATTACAAATGTCTTCTTTTGTCCCATCAACCCCTGGATGACACTCCCACCCTCCAGGATGACATAGGTGTGCTTTATATGTAATTAAAGTGTAGAGTTTTGTTTTTTTTCACAGGTTGATTCCTTAAAATATATCACATTGTGACAGGTATACACACCCATTACCTGGAGTGTTGACAGCACCCATGAACTCTTTCTGGCATGTGTTTGTTTTCTGCCTTCCTCAGGGACCACTGGATCATCAACAAGTACAACCACAGGAGCTAAAGCACCAAAACCAGGTGACACAGGCCTCAGAGAAGGTGAGATAAAGAAATGAGTCAAGCCGAAACCGGCTTGGCTCAGTGGATAGAGTGTCGGCCTGAGGACTGAAGGGTCCTGGGTTGGATTCTGGTCAAGGGCATTTGCCTTGGTTGCGGGCACATCCCCAGAGGGAGGTGTGCAAGGGGCAGCTGATCGATGATTCTCTCTCATCAATATTTCTAACTCTCTATCCCTCTCTCTTCCTCTCTGTAAAATATCAAAATATATTAAAAAAAAGAAGAAAGAAATGAGTCAAATTCTATTCCTTCCATAGCTTCTTTTCACAAGCAGTTCTCTGTTTCTGGTCAGGGACAATTGTACCCTGAGAACTGCATTTGGAAATGGGGGTCCAGCAATAGCACTAAGTCACCTGGATGACTTAGGGAAAATATTCAAAATTAGTCTTTCTTTATTAACTAAAATATTAGTGATATATTTCTAAAGTATACTAGAATTTCTAAATTATGCTCAAATATGTAACATAATTTAATCCACATTAACACCATGGTAGTTAAATCTCTTCATTGCCATTAGAAAGAAAATAATAAAAGGTCTCAAGTCAAAGCTGACAGAAGCAGGAATAGAACCCAGAATCCCTAGCCTCCTCTGCAATAGATCCACCATTTCCTGATCAGTGCATAGAGTATACATAAAAAAAAAAAAAAAAAAAAAAAAAAAAAAAAAAAAAAAAAAAAAAAAGCCAAATAAGGACATGTTTGCCCTGGCGCATCACTGACTAAATTCCAATTATTACTAGTTTCATGAATAAGAGATTATTGATATTCTTTAACATAGATAATACTCATCAGTTAATGTAAATACTCTGACATTTTCTCCTCTGCATCATATTTGCCTCTACTCAGGTATTAGGCATTGTCCATCTGGTCTCTGCAGTTGTCCATCAACCTCACCTTATCTTAACACAGTGGTGTTCAAAGTGTGGTTCCCAGACAAACAACATCAACATCTCCTTTTAGAAAGGAAAATTTTGGGGGCCACCTCCCTGAAATCAGAATCTCTTAGAGTGAAACCCAGCAAGTATATTAATTCACAAGCCCCTTTGGCAATCAGTGCTTATCAATGTTGAGAACATCTTTCTCTATTTCTCTTCCAATGTATGCTTTAGTCAATACCTCTGGCTAGAATGGACTTCCTGAAATGCAACTGTGATCATGTCGCTGCACTATGTAAAATCCTTCCATTGTTCTGGTTGCTTTAGGATAAATAAAAACTCCTTTACATATTACTAAAAGCTATGCCTTTCTAAGTTAGAGTATGCAGGGTACTTCTCTTTGTGCCTTTATGATCTAATTCATGGCCTGATTCTAAGAGCTAATCTATGGCCTCTTTTGTTTTTCTATATTTATTTTCCTAAAGCAAGTTTCTTTATTTAAAATTTATGTCACACACTTTTTAGAATAAGATATAGTTTACATAAAAACAATGTGTTAGAAGAATCTACAGCAACAGAAATTAAGAAACTGGTTATTTTCAATTAGATCTGAAACTTTAGGGTGATGACGGTTTAGTCGATAGTCCTTAAAATTTGAATCAGAATTATTTGGCTAATAGTGACAATTCAATCAGTAAATTTTTTTTTTTTTTTTTTTTTTTTTGCTATCAGGTAGTAGTTTTAAATAGGGTTGTTGAAAGTTTGGTCCACAAATGAGTACCATCAGAACTATTGATTACTGGTCATGATGCGGTAAGAACTGAAACAGAGAACAGGTATTTAGAAACAGCAGTTTCATCTGGCCAGTGTCACTCAGTGGTTGAGTGTCGATCTATGAACCAGGAGGTCATGGTTCAATTCACTTCTTGGCCAGGGCACAGGTGGGGGTTGCAGACTAGTTCCCCAGAAGGGGGTGTGCAGAAGGCAGTCGATCAATGGTTCGCTCTCATCATTGATGCTTCTATCTCTCCCTTCCCTTCCTCTCTGAAATCAATAAAAATATATTTTAAAAAATAGAAACAGCAGTTTCACACAGTGCCTTTAATGCCTCCGAAATACAAGCTTATGTTTGAAATGATTTTATTAAAAACATATTTCTCTATTTTCATGGCATTTCCCAAAACACCCACATAGGGCAGATTGCTCTTTTACCACAGATTGTTTGAGAAGTAAAGGTTACAGTAAACTTTGGGGCTAGACTATCTGGGTTTGGCTTCTTGGTCTGCTGCCAGCCAACCTAGTGACCTGGAGAAAGTCACTTACCCACGTCTGTTGAATGGGAATAACATTACCTGCCTCAGAGGATGTGTATAAGAGTGGATTTATGTCGAGGGTACTTTTTAAACTGCTATTCTCCCCACAGCTGGAAAAGGGGCCCCTACTGCACCACCAGTAGAAACTGAACAAGAGAGCACACCTGGGGAACTGAGCACAGAAGCAACAAGCACAGGCACAGGAGCAACAAGCACAGGAAAATCAGGCAAGTCAGGATGTGCACTTGAACGTCTGTGAAATGGTCCTGAACATATTACAGGTCGGACTAAAGACGAAGCTGTTTGTGACATTAGATCATCTCGCTGCAGAAATCCTAGGTGTCATCTAAGATTTCCTTTACATAGAATCCTACATTCTGTCACACTAGAGTGATCTGTAGAATCCTACCATTCTGGAAGTAATACCCCTTCCTTGCTGTTACGCCAGGGACCTCAGAAGGATCAGAGGACTTCACCACCGCACCTGGGCACAAGAGCACCAATGGAGGAGACACAACTGTCCCAGGCACAACCTCAGGAGGCAGAGCAGGTATGCAAATGGGGGCTCTGAAGCATTTTCTTATTGCCCATAGGGAAGCCAACAGCAGCTTCTACTAGGTTCTTAGCTATTAGTAAATGTGCATGTTCATCCCGTCACCGTCCCTGCTCGACGGGCTTATTGACTGTGTTTCACTAACATTAGCTCACAGGCAACTTAGAGCAAAGAGAATTATATTGCAGAATCCTGCCTTTGAACTTCTGAGGTTCTGAGTCTGATTGGGGCTCAGGTCATGGTTTGCAATCATGGCTGCACATTGGAATTGACTAGAAATTTTTTTTTGAAAATGCATATTAAAGGGCCTTTTATAGGCTAATTGAAACAGAACTCCTGGATGAAGACCCAAGGCACAATTGTCTTTTAAAAGCCTTATAGTTGGTTGCAATGGGTTGAGAACCAGTAGGCTAGGATATCTATATATGTAGTAAGCAACCCAGATGATTCTTATAATTAATTTTTAGAAAGAGTGAACTTGATATGTTTTAAGTGTGAGCGAATATATGCAAAGTATTTAAAAGAAGAGAACAGCAAAATCTGTTCTGCTTAACCAAAGCTCATGGATACATATATTTATTGTTTATTTTGAAAGAGACTGGGTCTTCAGCTGGGGAAACCACTAAAGCACCAAGCAGTGAAGGGACACCCTCTAAGGAAGGCAAGTCAATGAGCAAAGGGTGTCATTCAGAGGTCGTGGCTTTGTCAACAAGGACTAAATTAAACCAGAACTTGCTGACTTCACTCAAATTCATCATCTAAAAACTAGGGGGGGAAAATACGAGCATAAAAATGATTAACATTTTATTTTTTAAAAATATATTTTTATTGATTTCAGAGAGGAAGAGAGAGAGACAGAAACACGGATGATGAGAGAGAATCTTTGATCCACTGGCTCTTGCATGCTTCCCACTGGGGATTAAGCCCGCAACATGGGCACATGCCCTTGACTGGAATCAAACCCAGAAGCATTCAGTCCGCAAGCTGAAACTCTATCCACTGAAGAAAACCAGTTAGGGCAAAAAGATTAACATTTTTAAGATTTTTCATTTTACTGGCTTCTCCAAATCTTCCCTTCAAAAGTAGCACAGTATTGGATTGTCACAATAATGCACATGCTCTCCTCATACTGTGTTTGTCAGGGGGAACAGCAGAGTCTGGGAATTACTGTTCAGATGTCAGTGTGACCAAAGATGTCACAGATAATGACATGGATGTGACAGTTCAGATATTCTGCATTACTAAACAAGTTTAATATAGCATATTATAATTGATATTTCAATTAGAAACCACTTGAATATTTTTTGATACATCATAGTGGAGTTAAGCAAAAGGCAACAGTGACAATCTAACATTTCATCTTATGATTGATCGTTAAATGAAGGTTTGGAGTTAGATACTTCTTTTCAGTTACATATTATGCTCATCTACTTAATTACATTTCTTTATCTAAGGTCTGCATTGTTCTACAAAAAAACAAAACAAAAAGCAACAACAACAAAAAACCCACTGAGGCAACAAGCAAAAATGCATGATGATTAAAACTGCCAAATAATAAAAGATATGTCAGCCATTTTTGCATTTCACTAATTGACAATGTAATTTTTTAATACTAGAAATACTTAAGAGTTCCATGAATTATTTTGTTATTTAAATAATAGGCTGTGGGTTACTAAAAATTTATCAACCAGGATTTCAAATTTCAAATTAGAAATGTTCTTTTTACAGAAACAACAGGGACAACTGGCCCAAGAAGTAGAATGACAGGAACCAATGGCCTGGCACCTGGGGAATCCAGAACAAGTGGAACATCAGAATCTGAAACATCTGCTACAGGGTCTCAACCACCTGAATCATCGTCTGAAGGAACTGCCACTAACAGGCCATCTGAGGGAGGAATCGGAACCACAGGCCCAACAGGTGTAATGACTGGAACCAATGGCATGGAATCCGGGAAAGGAGGAACAAGTGGAACATCACAATCTGGAACAACTGCTACAGGGTCTCAACCATCTGAATCATCATCTGAAGGAACTGCCACTAACAGGCCATCTGAGGGAGGAATCGGAACCACAGGCCCAACAGGTGTAATGCCTGGAACCAATGGCATGGAATCCGGGAAAGGAGTAACAAGTGGAACAGCAGAATCTGGAACATCTGCTACAGGGTCTCAAACACCTGAATCATCATCTGAAGGAAGTGCCACTTACAAGACAACTGAGGGAGTAATCGGAACCACAGCTTCAACAGGTGTAATGGCAGGGAACCATGGGTTGGAAACCGGGAAAGTAGGACCAAGCGGAACATCAGAATCTGGAACATCTGCTCCAGGCTCTCAACCAACTGAATCATCAACAGGCAGATCTGCAACTAACAGGCCATCAGAGGGAGGAATTGGAACCACAGGCCCAACAGCTATAATGGCTGGCACCAATGGCGTGGAATCCGGGAAAGAAGGAACAAGTGGAACATCACAATCTGGAACATCTGCTACAGGGTCTCAAGCACCTGAATCATCATCTGAAGGAAGTGTCAATAACAGGCCATCTGAGGGAGGAATTGAATCCACAGGTCCAACAGGTGTAACGCCTGGAACCAATGGTGTGGAATCCGGGAAAGGAGGAACAAGTGCAACATCACAGTCTGGAACATCTGCTACAGTGTCTCAACCACCAGAATCATCATCTGAAGGAAGTGCCAGTAACAGGCCATCTGAGTTAGGGATAGGAACCACTGGCCCAACAGGTGGAGTGTCAGGAAGTAATGGCCTCACACCTGAGGAATCAGGAACAAGTGGAACAAGACAATCTGGAACAACTGGGTCACCTGGTACAGGTTCTGGAACAACTGAATCACCACCCAAAGCAACTGGGACAACACATACCACAGCAGAAGGAAAAGGCAGAACTGGTCCATCAGCTGAAATGCCAGGATCCACTGGAGTAACACCTGGAAGATCAGGTCCAACTGTAACATATGAGTCTGGAGCACCTGGCTCACCTGCTAAAGGTTCTGCAACTCCTGGATCATCATCTGAAAGACCTACAACAACCAGACAATCAGCTGGAGGGAAAGAAACAACTGTCTCAATGGGTCCCATGTCAGGAACTACTGGTGTAACACCTGCAGGATCAGAGACAACTGGAACATCTCTCAGAGATATCGCAAAAACTGACTCTTCATTTGCAAGACCAGGGACAACGGGAACATCAACTGGAGGGATAGGGACAACTCGCCCAAGAGGTGGAATGGCAGGAACCAGTAATGTGCCACCTGGGGAACCAGGAACAAGTGGAACATCAGAATCTGTCACATCTGCTCCAGGGTCTCAACCACCTGAATCATCACCAGGCGGATCTGCAACTAACAGGCCATCAGAGGGAGGAATTGAAACCACAGGCCCAACAGGTGTAATGCCTGGAACCAATGGTATGGAATCTGGGAAAGGAGGAACAAGTGCAACATCACAATCTGCAACATCTGCTACAGGGTCTCAACCACCTGAATCATCATCTGAAGGTAGTGCCACTAACAGGCCATCTGAGGGAGGGATAGGAACCACTGGCCCAACAGGTGGAGTGTCAGGAAGTAATGGCCTCACACCTGAGGAATCAGGAACAAGTGGAACAAGACAATCTGGAACAACTGGGTCACCTGGTACAGGTTCTGGAACAACTGAATCACCACCCAAAGCAACTGGGACAACCCGTTCCCCAGCAGAAGGAAAAGGCAGAACTGGTCCATCAGCTGAAATGCCAGGATCCACTGGAGTAACACCTGGAAGATCAGGTCCAACTGTAACATATGAGTCTGGAGCACCTGGCTCACCTGCTAAAGAGTCTGCAACTCCTGGATCATCATCTGAAAGACCTACAACAACCAGACAATCAGCTGGAGGGAAAGAAACAACTGTCTCAATTGGTCCCATGTCAGGAACTACTGGTGTAACACCTGCAGGATCAGGGACAACTGGAACATCTCTCAGAGATATCGCAAAAACGGACTCTTCATTTGCAAGACCAGGGACAACGGGAACATCAACTGGAGGGACAGGGACAACTGGCCCTAGAGGTGGAATGGCAGGAACCAGTAATGTGCCACCTGGGGAACCAGGAAAAAGTGCAACATCAGAATCTGGAACATCTGCTACAGGGTCTCAACCACCTGAATCATCATCTGAAGGAAGTGCCACTAACAGGCCATCTGAGGGAGGGATAGGAACCACTGGCCCAACAGGTGTAATGCCTGGAACCAATGGTATGGAATCTGGGAAAGGAGGAACAAGTGGAACATCACAATCTGCAACATCTGCTACAGGGTCTCAACCACCTGAATCGTCATCTGAAGGAAGTGCCACTAACAGGCCATCTGAGGGAGGGATAGGAACCACTGGCCCAACAGGTGGAGTGTCAGGAAGTAATGGCATCACACCTGAGGAATCAGGAACAAGTGGAACAAGACAAGCTGGAAAAACTGGGTCACCTGGTACAGGTTCTGGAACAACTGAATCACCACCCAAAGCAACTGGGACAACCCGTTCCCCAGCAGAAGGAAAAGGCAGAACTGGTCCATCATCTGAAATGCCAGGATCCACTGGAGTAACACCTGGAAGATCAGGTCCAACTGTAACATATGAGTCTGGAGCACCTGGCTCACCTGCTAAAGGTTCTGCAACTCCTGGATCATCATCTGAAAGACCTACAACAACCAGACAATCAGCTGGAGGGAAAGAAACAACTGTCTCAATGGGTCCCATGTCAGGAACTACTGGTGTAACACCTGCAGGATCAGGGACAACTGGAACATCTCTCAGAGATATCGCAAAAACTGACTCTTCATTTGCAAGACCAGGGACAACGGGAACATCAACTGGAGGGACAGGGACAACTGGCCCTAGAGGTGGAATGGCAGGAACCAGTAATGTGCCACCTGGGGAACCAGGAACAAGTGGAACATCAGAATCTGTCACATCTGCTCCAGGGTCTCAACCACCTGAATCATCACCAGGCGGATCTGCAACTAACAGGCCATCAGAGGGAGGAATCGGAACCACAGGCCCATCAGGTGTAATGCCTGGAACCAATGGCGTGGAATCCGGTAAAGGAGGAACAAGTGTAACATCAGAATCTGGAACATCTGCTACAGGGTCTCAAGCACCTGAATCCTCATCTGAAGGAAGTGCCACTAACAGGCCATCTGAGGGAGGAATTGAAACCACAGGCCCAACAGGTGTAATGCCTGGAACCAATGGTATGGAATCTGGGAAAGGAGGAACAAGTGCAACATCACAATCTGCAACATCTGCTACAGGGTCTCAACCACCTGAATCATCATCTGAAGGAAGTGCCACTAACAGGCCATCTGAGGGAGGGATAGGAACCACTGGCCCAACAGGTGGAGTGTCAGGAAGTAATGGCCTCACACCTGAGGAATCAGGAACAAGTGGAACAAGACAAGCTGGAACAACTGGGTCACCTGGTACAGGTTCTGGAACAACTGAATCACCACCCAAAGCAACTGGGACAACCCATTCCCCAGCAGAAGGAAAAGGCAGAACTGGTCCATCAGCTGAAATGCCAGGATCCACTGGAGTAACACCTGGAAGATCAGGTCCAACTGTAACATATGAGTCTGGAGCACCTGGCTCACCTGCTAAAGGTTCTGCAACTCCTGGATCATCATCTGAAAGACCTACAACAACCAGACAATCAGCTGGAGGGAAAGAAACAACTGTCTCAATGGGTCCCATGTCAGGAACTACTGGTGTAACACCTGCAGGATCAGGGAAAACTGGAACATCTCTCAGAGATATCGCAAAAACTGACTCTTCATTTGCAAGACCAGGGACAACCGGAACATCAACTAGAGGGACAGGGACAACTGGCCCTAGAGGTGGAATGGCAGGAACCAGTAATGTGCCACCTGGGGAACCAGGAACAAGTGGAACATCAGAATCTGTCACATCTGCTCCAGGGTCTCAACCACCTGAATCATCACCAGGCGGATCTGCAACGAACAGGCCATCAGAGGGAGGAATCAGAACAACAGGCGCATCAGGTGTAATGCCTGGAACCAATGGCGTGGAATCCGGGAAAGGAGGAACAAGTGCAACATCAGAATCTGGAACATCAGCTACAGGGTCTCAACCACCTGAATCATCATCTGAAGGAAGTGCCACTAACAGGCCATCTGAGGGAGGAACTGAAACCACAGGCCCAACAGGTGTAATGCCTGGAACCAATGTTATGGAATCTGGGAAAGGAGGAACAAGTGGAACATCACAATCTGCAACATCTGCTACAGGGTCTCAACCACCTGAATCATCATCTGAAGGAAGTGCCACTAACAAGCCATCTGAGGGAGGGATAGGAACCACTGGCACAACAGGTGGAGTATCAGGAAGTAACGGCATCACACCTGAGGAATTAGGAACAAGTGGAACAAGACAAGCTGGAAAAACTGGGTCACCTGGTACAGGTTCTGGAACAACTGAATCACCACCCAAAGCAACTGGGACAACCCGTTCCCCAGCAGAAGGAAAAGGCAGAACTGGTCCATCATCTGAAATGCCAGGATCCATTGGAGTAACACCTGGAAGATCAGGTCCAACTGTAACATATGAGTCTGGAGCACCTGGCTCACCTGCTAAAGGTTCTGCAACTCCTGGATCATCATCTGAAAGACCTACAACAACCAGACAATCAGCTGGAGGGAAAGAAACAACTGTCTCAATGGGTCCCATGTCAGGAACTACTGGTGTAACACCTGCAGGATCAGGGACAACTGGAACATCTCTCAGAGATATTGCAAAAACTGACTCTTCATTTGCAAGACCAGGGACAACAGGAACATCAACTGGAGGGACAGGGACAACTGGTCCTAGAGGTGGAATGGCAGGAACCAGTAATGTGCCACCTGGGGAACCAGGAACAAGTGGAACATCAGAATCTGTCACATCTGCTCCAGGGTCTCAACCACCTGAATCATCACCAGGCGGATCTGCAACTAACAGGCCATCAGAGGGAGGAATCGGAACCACAGGCCCATCAGGTGTAATGCCTGGAACCAATGGCGTGGAATCCGGGAAAGGAGGAACAAGTGCAACATCAGAATCTGGAACATCTGCTACAGGGTCTCAACCACCTGAATCATCATCTGAAGGAAGTGCCACTAACAGGCCATCTGAGGGAGGGATAGGAACCACTGGCCCAACAGGTGGAGTGTCAGGAAGTAATGGCCTCACACCTGAGGAATCAAGAACAAGTGGAACAAGACAAGCTGGAACAACTGGGTCACCTGGTACAGGTTCTGGAACAACTGAATCACCACCCAAAGCAACTGGGACAACCCATTCCCCAGCAGAAGGAAAAGGCAGAACTGGTCCATCAGCTGAAATGCCAGGATCCAATGGAGTAACACCTGGAAGATCAGGTCCAACTGTAACATATGAGTCTGGGGCACCTGGCTCACCTGCTAAAGGTTCTGCAACTCCTGGATCATCATCTGAAAGACCTACAACAACCAGACAATCAGCTGGAGGGAAAGAAACAACTGTCTCAATGGGTCCCATGTCAGGAACTACTGGTGTAACACCTGCAGGATCAGGGAAAACTGGAACATCTCTCAGAGATATCGCAAAAACTGACTCTTCATTTGCAAGACCAGGGACAACCGGAACATCAACTAGAGGGACAGGGACAACTGGCCCTAGAGGTGGAATGGCAGGAACCAGTAATGTGCCACCTGGGGAACCAGGAACAAGTGGAACATCAGAATCTGTCACATCTGCTCCAGGGTCTCAACCACCTGAATCATCACCAGGCGGATCTGCAACGAACAGGCCATCAGAGGGAGGAATCAGAACAACAGGCCCATCAGGTGTAATGCCTGGAACCAATGGCGTGGAATCCGGGAAAGGAGGAACAAGTGCAACATCAGAATCTGGAACATCAGCTACAGGGTCTCAACCACCTGAATCATCATCTGAAGGAAGTGCCACTAACAGGCCATCTGAGGGAGGAACTGAAACCACAGGCCCAACAGGTGTAATGCCTGGAACCAATGGTATGGAATCTGGGAAAGGAGGAACAAGTGCAACATCACAATCTGCAACATCTGCTACAGGGTCTCAACCACCTGAATCATCATCTGAAGGAAGTGTCACTAACAAGCCATCTGAGGGAGGGATAGGAACCACTGGCACAACAGGTGGAGTATCAGGAAGTAACGGCATCACACCTGAGGAATTAGGAACAAGTGGAACAAGACAAGCTGGAAAAACTGGGTCACCTGGTACAGGTTCTGGAACAACTGAATCACCACCCAAAGCAACTGGGACAACCCGTTCCCCAGCAGAAGGAAAAGGCAGAACTGGTCCATCATCTGAAATGCCAGGATCCATTGGAGTAACACCTGGAAGATCAGGTCCAACTGTAACATATGAGTCTGGAGCACCTGGCTCACCTGCTAAAGGTTCTGCAACTCCTGGATCATCATCTGAAAGACCTACAACAACCAGACAATCAGCTGGAGGGAAAGAAACAACTGTCTCAATGGGTCCCATGTCAGGAACTACTGGTGTAACACCTGCAGGATCAGGGACAACTGGAACATCTCTCAGAGATATTGCAAAAACTGACTCTTCATTTGCAAGACCAGGGACAACAGGAACATCAACTGGAGGGACAGGGACAACTGGCCCTAGAGGTGGAATGGCAGGAACCAGTAATGTGCCACCTGGGGAACCAGGAACAAGTGGAACATCAGAATCTGTCACATCTGCTCCAGGGTCTCAACCACCTGAATCATCACCAGGCGGATCTGCAACTAACAGGCCATCAGAGGGAGGAATCGGAACCACAGGCCCATCAGGTGTAATGCCTGGAACCAATGGCGTGGAATCCGGAAAAGGAGGAACAAGTGTAACAACAGAATCTGGAACATCTGCTACAGGGTCTCAAGCACCTGAATCCTCATCTGAAGGAAGTGCCACTAACACGCCATCTGAGGGAGGAATTGAAACCACAGGCCCAACAGGTGTAATGCCTGGAACCAATGGCGTTGAATCCGGAAAAGGAGGAACAAGTGCAACATCAGAATCTGCAACATCTGCTACAGGGTCTCAAGCACCTGAATCCTCATCTGAAGGAAGTGCCACTAACAGGCCATCTGAGGGAGGAATTGAAACCACAGGCCCAACAGGTGTAATGCCTGGAACCAACGGTATGGAATCTGGGAAAGGAGGAACAAGTGCAACATCACAATCTGCAACATCTGCTACAGGGTCTCAACCACCTGAATCGTCATCTGAAGGAAGTGCCACTAACAGGCCATCTGAGGGAGGGATAGGAACCACTGGCCCAACAGGTGGAGTGTCAGGAAGTAATGGCCTCACACCTGAGGAATCAGGAACAAGTGGAACAAGACAATCTGGAACAACTGGGTCACCTGGTACAGGTTCTGGAACAACTGAATCACCACCCAAAGCAACTGGGACAACACATACCACAGCAGAAGGAAAAGGCAGAACTGGTCCATCAGCTGAAATGCCAGGATCCACTGGAGTAACACCTGGAAGATCAGGTCCAACTGTAACATATGAGTCTGGAGCACCTGGCTCACCTGCTAAAGGTTCTGCAACTCCTGGATCATCATCTGAAAGACCTACAACAACCAGACAATCAGCTGGAGGGAAAGAAACAACTGTCTCAATAGGTCCCATGTCAGGAACTACTGGTGTAACACCTGCAGGATCAGGGACAACTGGAACATCTCTCAGAGATATCGCAAAAACTGACTCTTCATTTGCAAGACCAGGGACAACGGGAACATCAACTGGAGGGACAGGGATAACTGGCCCTAGAGGTGGAATGGCAGGAACCAGTAATGTGTCACCTGGGGAACCAGGAACAAGTGCAACATCAGAATCTGGAACATCTGCTACTGGGTCTCAACCACCTGAATCATCATCTGAAGGAAGTGCCACTAACAGGCCATCTGAAGGAGGGATAGGAACCACTGGCCCAACAGGTGGAGTGTCAGGAAGTAATGGCCTCACACCTGAGGAATCAGGAACAAGTGGAACAAGACAAGCTGGAACAACTGGGTCACCTGGTACAGGTTCTGGAACAACTGAATCACCACCCAAAGCAACTGGGACAACCCATTCCCCAGCAGAAGGAAAAGGCAGAACTGGTCCATCAGCTGAAATGCCAGGATCCACTGGAGTGACACCTGGAAGATCAGGTCCAACTGTAACATATGAGTCTGGAGCACCTGGCTCACCTGCTAAAGGTTCTGCAACTCCTGGATCATCATCTGAAAGACCTACAACAACCAGACAATCAGCTGGAGGGAAAGAAACAACTGTCTCAATGGGTCCCATGTCAGGAACTATTGGTGTAACACCTGCAGGATCAGGGAAAACTGGAACATCTCTCAGAGATATCGCAAAAACTGACTCTTCATTTGCAAGACCAGGGACAACCGGAACATCAACTAGAGGGACAGGGACAACTGGCCCTAGAGGTGGAATGGCAGGAACCAGTAATGTGCCACCTGGGGAACCAGGAACAAGTGGAACATCAGAATCTGTCACATCTGCTCCAGGGTCTCAACCACCTGAATCATCACCAGGCGGATCTGCAACGAACAGGCCATCAGAGGGAGGAATCAGAACAACAGGCCCATCAGGTGTAATGCCTGGAACCAATGGCATGGAATCCGGGAAAGGAGGAACAAGTGCAACATCAGAATCTGGAACATCAGCTACAGGGTCTCAACCACCTGAATCATCATCTGAAGGAAGTGCCACTAACAGGCCATCTGAGGGAGGAACTGAAACCACAGGCCCAACAGGTGTAATGCCTGGAACCAATGGTATGGAATCTGGGAAAGGAGGAACAAGTGCAACATCAGAATCTGGAACATCAGCTACAGGGTCTCAACCACCTGAATCATCATCTGAAGGAAGTGCCACTAACAAGCCATCTGAGGGAGGGATAGGAACCACTGGCCCAACAGGTGGAGTATCAGGAAGTAACGGCATCACACCTGAGGAATCAGGAACAAGTGGAACAAGACAAGCTGGAAAAACTGGGTCACCTGGTACAGGTTCTGGAACAACTGAATCACCACCCAAAGCAACTGGGACAACCCGTTCCCCAGCAGAAGGAAAAGGCAGAACTGGTCCATCATCTGAAATGCCAGGATCCACTGGAGTAACACCTGGAAGATCAGGTCCAACTGTAACATATGAGTCTGGAGCACCTGGCTCACCTGCTAAAGGTTCTGCAACTCCTGGATCATCATCTGAAAGACCTACAACAACCAGACAATCAGCTGGAGGGAAAGAAACAACTGTCTCAATGGGTCCCATGTCAGGAACTACTGGTGTAACACCTGCAGGATCAGGGACAACTGGAACATCTCTCAGAGATATCGCAAAAACTGACTCTTCATTTGCAAGACCAGGGACAACGGGAACATCAACTGGAGGGACAGGGACAACTGGCCCTAGAGGTGGAATGGCAGGAACCAGTAATGTGCCACCTGGGGAACCAGGAACAAGTGGAACATCAGAATCTGTCACATCTGCTCCAGGGTCTCAACCACCTGAATCATCACCAGGCGGATCTGCAACTAACAGGCCATCAGAGGGAGGAATCGGAACCACAGGCCCATCAGGTGTAATGCCTGGAACCAATGGCGTGGAATCCGGAAAAGGAGGAACAAGTGTAACAACAGAATCTGGAACATCTGCTACAGGGTCTCAAGCACCTGAATCCTCATCTGAAGGAAGTGCCACTAACACGCCATCTGAGGGAGGAATTGAAACCACAGGCCCAACAGGTGTAATGCCTGGAACCAATGGCGTGGAATCCGGAAAAGGAGGAACAAGTGCAACATCAGAATCTGCAACATCTGCTACAGGGTCTCAAGCACCTGAATCCTCATCTGAAGGAAGTGCCACTAACAGGCCATCTGAGGGAGGAATTGAAACCACAGGCCCAACAGGTGTAATGCCTGGAACCAACGGTATGGAATCTGGGAAAGGAGGAACAAGTGCAACATCACAATCTGCAACATCTGCTACAGGGTCTCAACCACCTGAATCGTCATCTGAAGGAAGTGCCACTAACAGGCCATCTGAGGGAGGGATAGGAACCACTGGCCCAACAGGTGGAGTGTCAGGAAGTAATGGCCTCACACCTGAGGAATCAGGAACAAGTGGAACAAGACAATCTGGAACAACTGGATCACCTGGTACAGGTTCTGGAACAACTGAATCACCACCCAAAGCAACTGGGACAACCCGTTCCCCAGCAGAAGGAAAAGGCAGAACTGGTCCCTCAGCTGAAATGCCAGGATCCACTGGAGTACCACCTGGAAGATCAGGTCCAACTGTAACATATGAGTCTGGAGCACCTGGCTCACCTGCTAAAGGTTCTGCAACTCCTGGATCATCATCTGAAAGACCTACAACAACCAGACAATCAGCTGGAGGGAAAGAAACAACTGTCTCAATGGTTCCCATGTCAGGAACTACTGGTGTTACACCTGCAGGATCAGGGACAACTGGAACATCTCTCAGAGACATCGCACAAACTGACTCTTCATTTGCAAGACCAGGGACAACCGGAACATCAACTGGAGGGATAGGGACAACTGGCCCTAGAGGTGGAATGGCAGGAACCAGTAATGTGCCACCTGGGGAATCAGGAATGAGTGGAACATCAGAATCTGTCACATCTGCTCCAGGGTCTCAACCACCTGAATCATCACCAGGCGGATCTGCAACTAACAGGCCATCAGAGGGAGGAATCGGAACCACAGGCCCATCAGGTGTAATGCCTGGAACCAATGGCGTGGAATCCGGAAAAGGAGGAACAAGTGCAACATCACAATCTGCAACATCTGCTACAGGGTCTCAACCACCTGAATCATCATCTGAAGGAAGTGCCACTAACAGGCCATCTGAGGGTGGGATAAGAACCACTGGCCCAACAGGTGGAGTGTCAGGAAGTAATGGCATCACACCTGAGGAATCAGGAACAAGTGGAACAAGACAATCTGGAACAACTGGGTCACCTGGTACAGGTTCTGGAACAACTGAATCACCACCCAAAGCAACTGGGACAACCCGTTCCCCAGCAGAAGGAAAAGGCAGAACTGGTCCATCATCTGAAATGCCAGGATCCACTGGAGTAACACCTGGAAGATCAGGTCCAACTGTAACATATGAGTCTGGAGCACCTGGCTCACCTGCTAAAGGTTCTGCAACTCCTGGATCATCATCTGAAAGACCTACAACAACCAGACAATCAGCTGGAGGGAAAGAAACAACTGTCTCAATGGGTCCCATGTCAGGAACTACTGGTGTAACACCTGCAGGATCAGGGACAACTGGAACATCTCTCAGAGATATCGCAAAAACTGACTCTTCATTTGCAAGACCAGGGACAACGGGAACATCAACTGGAGGGACAGGGACAACTGGCCCTAGAGGTGGAATGGCAGGAACCAGTAATGTGCCACCTGGGGAACCAGGAACAAGTGGAACATCAGAATCTGTCACATCTGCTCCAGGGTCTCAACCACCTGAATCATCACCAGGCGGATCTGCAACGAACAGGCCATCAGAGGGAGGAATCAGAACAACAGGCCCATCAGGTGTAATGCCTGGAACCAATGGCGTGGAATCCGGGAAAGGAGGAACAAGTGCAACATCAGAATCTGCAACATCTGCTACAGGGTCTCAAGCACCTGAATCATCATCTGAAGGAAGTGCCACTAACAGGCCATCTGAGGGAGGAATTGAAACCACAGGCCCAACAGGTGTAATGCCTGGAACCAACGGTATGGAATCTGGGAAAGGAGGAACAAGTGCAACATCACAATCTGCAACATCTGCTACAGGGTCTCAACCACCTGAATCGTCATCTGAAGGAAGTGCCACTAACAGGCCATCTGAGGGAGGGATAGGAACCACTGGCCCAACAGGTGGAGTGTCAGAAAGTAATGGCCTCACACCTGAGGAATCAGGAACAAGTGGAACAAGACAATCTGGAACAACTGGGTCACCTGGTACAGGTTCTGGAACAACTGAATCACCACCCAAAGCAACTGGGACAACCCGTTCCCCAGCAGAAGGAAAAGGCAGAACTGGTCCCTCAGCTGAAATGCCAGGATCCACTGGAGTAACACCTGGAAGATCAGGTCCAACTGTAACATATGAGTCTGGAGCACCTGGCTCACCTGCTAAAGGTTCTGCAACTCCTGGATCATCATCTGAAAGACCTACAACAACCAGACAATCAGCTGGAGGGAAAGAAACAACTGTCTCAATGGTTCCCATGTCAGGAACTACTGGTGTTACACCTGCAGGATCAGGGACAACTGGAACATCTCTCAGAGACATCGCACAAACTGACTCTTCATTTGCAAGACCAGGGACAACCGGAACATCAACTGGAGGGATAGGGACAACTGGCCCTAGAGGTGGAATGGCAGGAACCAGTAATGTGCCACCTGGGGAATCAGGAATGAGTGGAACATCAGAATCTGTCACATCTGCTCCAGGGTCTCAACCACCTGAATCATCACCAGGCGGATCTGCAACTAACAGGCCATCAGAGGGAGGAATCGGAACCACAGGCCCATCAGGTGTAATGCCTGGAACCAATGGCGTGGAATCCGGAAAAGGAGGAACAAGTGCAACATCACAATCTGCAACATCTGCTACAGGGTCTCAACCACCTGAATCATCATCTGAAGGAAGTGCCACTAACAGGCCATCTGAGGGTGGGATAAGAACCACTGGCCCAACAGGTGGAGTGTCAGGAAGTAATGGCATCACACCTGAGGAATCAGGAACAAGTGGAACAAGACAATCTGGAACAACTGGGTCACCTGGTACAGGTTCTGGAACAACTGAATCACCACCCAAAGCAACTGGGACAACCCATTCCCCAGCAGAAGGAAAAGGCAGAACTGGTCCATCAGCTGAAATGCCAGGATCCACTGGAGTACCACCTGGAAGATCAGGTCCAACTGTAACATATGAGTCTGGAGCACCTGGCTCACCTGCTAAAGGTTCTGCAACTCCTGGATCATCATCTGAAAGACCTACAACAACCAGACAATCAGCTGGAGGGAAAGAAACAACTGTCTCAATGGGTCCCATGTCAGGAACTACTGGTGTAACACCTGCAGGATCAGGGACAACTGGAACATCTCTCAGAGATATCGCAAAAACTGACTCTTCATTTGCAAGACCAGGGACAACGGGAACATCAACTGGAGGGACAGGGACAACTGGCCCTAGAGGTGGAATGGCAGGAACCAGTAATGTGCCACCTGGGGAACCAGGAACAAGTGGAACATCAGAATCTGTCACATCTGCTCCAGGGTCTCAACCACCTGAATCATCACCAGGCGGATCTGCAACGAACAGGCCATCAGAGGGAGGAATCAGAACAACAGGCCCATCAGGTGTAATGCCTGGAACCAATGGCGTGGAATCCGGGAAAGGAGGAACAAGTGCAACATCAGAATCTGGAACATCAGCTACAGGGTCTCAACCACCTGAATCATCATCTGAAGGAAGTGCCACTAACAGGCCATCTGAGGGAGGAACTGAAACCACAGGCCCAACAGGTGTAATGCCTGGAACCAATGGTATGGAATCTGGGAAAGGAGGAACAAGTGCAACATCACAATCTGCAACATCTGCTACAGGGTCTCAACCACCTGAATCATCATCTGAAGGAAGTGCCACTAACAAGCCATCTGAGGGAGGGATAGGAACCACTGGCCCAACAGGTGGAGTATCAGGAAGTAACGGCATCACACCTGAGGAATCAGGAACAAGTGGAACAAGACAATCTGGAACAACTGGGTCACCTGGTACAGGTTCTGGAACAACTGAATCACCACCCAAAGCAACTGGGACAACCCGTTCCCCAGCAGAAGGAAAAGGCAGAACTGGTCCATCAGCTGAAATGCCAGGATCCACTGGAGTAACACCTGGAAGATCAGGTCCAACTGTAACATATGAGTCTGGAGCACCTGGCTCACCTGCTAAAGGTTCTGCAACTCCTGGATCATCATCTGAAAGACCTACAACAACCAGACAATCAGCTGGAGGGAAAGAAACAACTGTCTCAATGGGTTCCATGTCAGGAACTACTGGTGTAACACCTGCAGGATCAGGGAAAACTGGAACATCTCTCAGAGATATCGCAAAAACTGACTCTTCATTTGCAAGACCAGGGACAATGGGAACCTCAACTGAAGGGACAGGGACAACTGGCCCTAGAGGTGGAATGGCAGGAACCAGTAATGTGCCACCTGGGGAACCAGGAACAAGTGGAACATCAGAATCTGGAACATCTGCTACAGAGTCTCAACCACCTGAATCATCACCAGGCGGATCTGCAACTAACAGGCCATCAGAGGGAGGAATCGGAGCAACAGGCCCAACAGTTGTAATGCCTGGAACCAATGGAGTGGAATCCGGGAAAGGAGGAATAAGTGCAACACCAGAATCTGGAACATCTGCCACAGGGTCTCAAGCACCTGAATCCTCATCTGAAGGAAGTGCCAGTTACAGGCCCCCTGAGGGAGGAATCCCAACTACTGGCCCTACAGGTGGAATGTTAGGAACCAGTGGTTTTCCAAGAAATGATATTACCAACTCTGGAGGTAAGTGAATTTAGTCAAAAATAGAACTAAGAGTTTTAATAATATCAGTTTTGCTCCAATATGTTGGAATTATACATATAAATTTATAGTGATTAGATTATTTATGACCTGAAATTTTTAATTATATATGAAGTTTATTGAACATTATTGTTTTGAATTTCTTTTTCTCACTTCTTAATAATTTGATGTTTCCATCCCTGCTACTCTTTTTATTGACCAGGTGCATTCAGAGTGTCAGTAGGATGTACCATGGAGGCAGAGGGAGGAAGCACAGTGACCCCAGAGGCTCTTGCTCTAGCTGTGCTTCCTCTGTTTGCCTCCATGGTACTTACTACTGGGAACCTATCAGGTAAGGCTCACCTGGGTGATCCTGCACAAATATGCCTGACACCCAAATTGTGATGATGAGCTTAAATTAATTACTAAAGCCTGAATATTTTGGAATATAAAATTAAATTTTAGGCTCACTATTAACATTAAAATTGAAGTCTAGTTAAATGGATGTAAGTTTGTTATTTTTGCAAAAGTGAATCATGTAAAGATAATAATCAATTGTCTCTTTACCTGGGCATAACTAGAGAATCATGTGGAGAAACCACTGAAGCAGGGGGAAGCACAACCAGATTAACCATACTTGGTAAAACAGAAGAGTGGGAAGGGATGCTATTGACTTAGGTTGTGTCTCAACATAAGGTTTTCTGACACATCTAATCATGAATATCTGTGTAGTAGAAATATAAAAATCAGAAAACCAGATCCAATATTTAGGGCCTTATATTTGAACTGGTGCATGGTTTCTCTGGATGGCCTGCAGTGATTGGGCCAAAACCTGCAGTCCAATACCATCTATAGCTCCTACCTGCTGCTCCCACTCATCTTGGCCCCACTGTGACTGTTGAGGGCTTGTGCTCAATCAGTCCCTATCAGGAGAGTTTGGTGCTGCTGCAGCAGCACTCTGCAGCCATGAGTCCTGCATCTGGCACCCTCCTAAGGGGAGTGGCCTGTAGGATTGAGCTGAAACCAGCTCTCCTACATCCCCCAAGGGGTCTTAGATTGCTAGAGGGACCCCAGTGGTGAACAAATGGGCTGGGAGGGACTGTGGGAGGGCTCCAGGGCATATGCAGCTCATCTCTCTCAGTCCTGATAGGCTGGACCCCAGAAGCAAGCTAACCTGCTGGTCGGAGCATATGCCTCCTGGTGGACAGTGCACATCATAGCCAGCAGTTGAGCAGCCTTAGCATATCATTACCATATTGTGTTTTGATTGGTTGGTTGTTCTCCCATTTGGTCTTCTTGCATATTACTCTTGCATATAAGTAGGATAGGTGCTTTCTCACCAGTACTGGAACTACAACACTTGGGCTCAAAGTAGTTACAGTGACAATATCCAGGTTATATCCCCCCAAAATAAAAACACTGCTTATGACTTTCCATTTTTAGTCTCAGGTTCCATAAGAAGGACCCCTGGCTCAATAATTCCATCAGGAACTACCATTGTAGTTCCTGCAGGGCATGCTGGATGTATGTTTTTTATTTATTTTCATATTCATTTACTAGTTTTAAATAATAAATTAATAAAAATACCAGTTACATAATTAAAATCTCTTTAAATATATTATTTTTTTTTTAACTATTTGAATAGGATGGTTATCTCATTTACTCATGAGGAACTTAAGAAAAGCCATTACCTAGGTTGGTCCCGGTTTATCAGCCAATCATAGTGAGGCCTGTGTTTTCACCCATTGCTTCCTGACTCCAGAGACTCATCTTCACCACATGCACATGTCATCCTCTAGAGACAATGATCTTTAATGACCTATTAAGAAAAGCTTGCTTTTTTATATGTGCAAAACTTAAATTTCCCCCTTTCTAATTATAATAACTACAGCAACAGGTATTAAAAAAAAGGTTTATAATTTTTTATACTAGAAAAATTGTGGCATTTGTTTCAAAACAGCAAGGGTTAAGGCATTTTACTTGACAAAACTATAATTCTATTGTTTTATAAATAAAAAGTTCATCACTTCCTTTCTTTTTTCAGTTATTCCAACTTGACATAAAATTTACAAATACTTCTAGGATAATTTTCTCATAACAATACATGGACTAAATTATTTATTCAGGCTAGAGAACATTATTATTTAAGTTTCTGGAGTAGGAATGTATCATAGTACTTGAGAAAGACATGTCTCACTTTTAGATTATCTAATAGAACCTAAGATTTAGTGACTAAATTGTCTATTATTTAAGGAATAGATTGCTAATAATTTTTTTCTGGTAAAGATTTATGCTACATCTATTCTAATTACTATTAAAAACTCCACTGATGTAAATTTATTTTACAAATTATCCACCTGGAAATAATTTATTCAAAAATTTAATTCAGACTAAATTCATAATTATTCTTTACTCATTCAATGGTTATGTAAATGTAAATGAATTCACATGATTTATATTACTTATTGAGCACCAAGAGTATATTACAAATTAGTACCATGGCTACTAGGATATCTAACTATTGGGGCACAGCATGTATTTTATTTTTTTATTACTATTTTTTTTTGCTCTTCCCAAGTTTAAGACTTTACTCTTAAATTAAAGGGATCCAGACAAGAGGTACTGTTTGTAAAGATTTAACTTGGGAAAATGCAGTGGTTCTGTTTTCAGTTTAATAATTTGTAACTTATGAATGATTTTTTACAAGAACACTTTACAGATTTTCCCCCCAATAGATCCCTCTTCCTGACTTGAATTTCTAGATAAACTCCTATGGAAATAACACTTCTGTTTTTTTTTAATTATATAGTCCATTGAAGCACTAAAGTGAAATTTTAAAATGCAATTCAATAAGTATACTTTTAATTGAAACATGAATTTTATCTTTTCTTTTTTTTGGCTCAGCGAACAAATTTCTACCAGAACTCATTGCAGGTAAGTTGAAATTAAAATGACAAACTATTTGTGTACAATGTAGTTTGAAATATTACTATCTTTTCCATTTGAGCACTGAAAAGTAACTGAATGACTGTGATATACTTCCTAAACTATAATTTAATATAAATTAATCTTTGAGTTGAGATAAATAAAAATGTATTTTTAATTTTTAGTGACGTAACAGGTAAGAAAATATAATGTTATAAATATACACTTAAGAAATTGTGTTACAGTAACTAGAATTGAAAATAAGATAGCAGAAGTCATAATTTATCAGATTAATAAAACATAAACTTCAAATTAGAGTTTGGTGGCATAGAGATTTTACTTTTCCTATTCTTATGCCTTCTGAAATCATAACAAAGGTGTATTGAGTTTCTTACATAATAGTTAAGTTTTACATTGGTTGTGCGTAAACATACAAAATCAAGTAAATAAAGATAACTCTAAAAGTATCCTCCTCATTAAAAAAAGATAGTACCATACTTCTCAGTATATTAGCATTGTCACTTACCATTTTCATGAAAATTTTTAGCTTTTATGGATTCCTGATGTCTCTTTTAAAATTTAAGTTTTAAAAAATAAGCAAAAAAAAAAAGGTGTTCTGTATAACATTTCACTTTTCTAAAACATTGTCCACTTCTGCAGTTCTTTAGCAATTACAATCAAATACAAGCTCCATAAAATTTGGTATTTTTGTCTTATTTTATTCACTGATATAAAACCCCTTTTTGATCCTTATGCGATGAGGTGTTTGGTTTCCACACTTGTCCATCTGATCCACTGGATTTTGCCTTTGTTGAGTGGGGTCCATTGGACATGCATCTCTCAGTGTGTCATGCAGTGAGCTAAAAGATCTCTTAAAACAGCTATTTCCAACACAGGGGGAGTTGAAATATAAGAAAACTATCTCTGTGGACACAATGGAAATTAAGTGGTTTATAGGCTTGCTGTGATAATATAATACAAAATACCTCTCTCTTCCCAACATCCCAAACACCCAGAACTTTCTTTTCTATTTTCTCCCTCAGAGGCTACAATTGCCACAGGAGGTAGGGGTGTCACTGGAGATGGATTCAGAGAGGGTGAGAGGAAGTATCACATGCCTTCTGCTAACCACTAATTATGATGTTCATAGGAGAGCCGAGAAAGACTTTGTGGAGAGCTGTTCACATTTTCCTTATTAATGCTGTATTTTGGGCCAACTGATTCTTTTTAAGTTTTAAAATTTTGTCCTGCTAAACTGCTAATAACAGAGTTCTGAATTACAGCTGTAATCCTTGAACATGGCATGATTTTCTAAATAGTTCTGAGAAATTTACAGATGTTATGAGACTTGAAGAGGAAAGTGAGAACATTTTCTATTTGTGATATATAAAGAAGAGCTACATAAACCCTGGAAACATGTCTGCCCCATTAGATGTTGGCTTTTCCACACACACAAAGAAAACAAAGAACAGCACAATATTTTCTCAGTAGCTGTAATTTTCAGAACACTCATATCTTCTTCCATTTCCACCCCCCAGAAGGTACCACTGTATCACCAGAAAGTGAAGTCACTGGGAGGAAAACAGGTGAGTGTGGGAGAAACCCAACCAGTTCACCAAAATAGAATGTTGCCCGGAAGTTGCCTCAGGTTGAGAACATTATCCTTCTGAAAGTCTTGGGAATAAAAAAATGGTTAATGGGAAAATACATACAGCTCACCAGCAAAGAAGAGGTAGACAGCAAGCCAGTTAGATAAAATGGCATTGTACTTAGGTTCTTTTTAGGTGCACATTTTAAAAAAAGAAAACATGGTGAAAACATTGGTTTTGTGTTTTAGGCACCACTGGGGTAGCTCCTGGCACAACTGTTGCCCCAGGCAGTTCCAAAACAGGTGAGTCTACAATTTGAAATAGAATCTTCCCCACTTCTTCCCACAAATTAGATTTCCCCTCTGAGACTACACATTGGAAGATACCATCATATCTTTCCCATGATTCTGAAATATTCTTTAATCACTTCTTTCTCTGTTCTCTCCCTCAGAGGCCACAACTTTCCTTGGGGAAAGGGAAACAACTACCATTGGAGTAGCGACAGGTAAGTGCTCTAGGCTAATACCTGTATTTCAAAGTAACTTCTTAAAATAGTCTTCTGAAAATATATCTACACTATTAGATATATTATGTCAATCAATTTCAGGTAGAAAGGTAAGCCAATCCTTACATTACCTCCTGATTGCCTAAGCTTACAAGAGCCTTCACTAGACCATCATAAAATCAAATTAATGGCAGGTAAATAGTAATACGGAAAGAAAATTCTTATCTCTCCTCCAAAGTAAGAGGCCTGATAGCAGCTTGTGGGCCACAAGTTTGACATGCTTGTAGAGGGTGGTGTTTGGAGACGAAAAAGAGGAAGAAGTTTAGATGGGTTCTAGTCTGGTTTGGTTGTCTGGGTGGGTGACAATAGTGTCATCCACAAAATTTGGGGATATACTGGAGGAAGAAAAAAAAAAGATAATTAATAGAAATTATACTGAAGTTAAATTTAAGTTTCAATTTAAAATGGTCTGAAGTATCCAAGCTGTATGCTCAGCAGGAATGAGAAGCACAACTAGAGTGCAGAAGAGAGGCCTGCACTGGAGAAGAGATTTGCCAGTCATTTTCTTACAAATGAGATTTAAAACTGTGAGTTTATTTAGGATAAACACACAGAGGTGAGATGAGAAGACAAAAATTAAAACATGATTCCTTGGGCATTAAGGGGTAGTCAAATGCAAAGGAGCCTTAAAAGAGAAAGAATTGGGGCTCAATAATTGATTTGGATTAAGTCAAACCCATAAGACAGAATATTGGGGTTCTGGGATGTGACCCAGAAAACTGTACTGGTTCTAAATTGGGGAATTCAGAATCTCAAATCATATGGGATCAACCAGAATTTTCAGGGGACATGTGTGCTTTTGAATAAGATTTGTTTTCGCTTCTAATTTTAAAGTTTAGAAGCAATTAATTTAAAAAAAAATTGTTTCCTTCCATTGGAGAACAAGAGAGATAAGTCACTGGAAGAAAATCATGTGACTGTAAGACAAACATTCCCTAATTTAGTATTTAGATTCTAGATGATTCTAGACTTAGAGAAATAAAATCTATGATGAAATTAGGACTTTTCCTCCCCCCCCCCCCTTTTTTTTTTTTTTTTAACATGCAAGCATTAGAAAGTACATTGAATGATATGCATGGCCTAATATTTGGGGCAAGAAAAATTGTTAAACTGCTTTCTATTACTTAAGAGAAACAGGAACACTTGTCAATACCACACTCTTCTTCTTAGGGTGAGAAAACCTTTGTAAGACTCATCCTTCCCTTTTATTACAGGTACTTCTGGGATAGCCTTTCGAATCTACTGAATTGGGGAATGTTTGTCTTACAGTCACATGATTTTCTTCCAGTGACTTATCTCTCCTGCTCTTCAATGGAAAGAAATAAACACATTAAAAAACATTGTTTTTTAATTGCTTCTAAACTTGTGATCAAGGATTAGGCATTTCAATAAAGGCCTTAGTTTACAAATTTACTAGCAGGCAAATAAATATTTAGTAATTGGATCTAAGTAGCTAAGCCTAAAAAAGTAAGAGCCCTTCTCTGGAATTGATTGTCTATTGTAACATCAACACAGCAGTCTTGACCCCATTCTTGTTTGCTTTTCTTAGGGGCTACCACTGGAGTTGGAATGCAAACAGGAAAGTATCAGTGGTTCACATCTGTTGCTTGTTCATTAATAACTTTCATGCCTTTTACCCAACATAGGGGATTATTGAGAATAAAGATAAAGGCCCAGGAAATAGAGCAGACTCCCATTAGGAATGTACTTTTCCAGACGTCTAAGCTTGTCTTTTGCTCTGAATTTCTGAGCTCAGACAAGAGCTCCCAGGTAGGTTTGTAAAAGTGAACACGGGCACCTGCTAAACAGAGGAATAGAGGTTAAAATTCAGCCAATATCCCTACAACAAGTTGTAAATCCATGAGGCCTCATCTGCTGAAAGGGATGTTTATTGTAATTCACAAAGGTACCCTCCGGACTATCTGCAGCACTCGCCCAGTCTTTCATCTGATTTACTTTCTCTCTTGCTGTTGATCTTTGAACATAATCATAAGAATGTGCATCTGAAATGAAATGAAATGTTCTTCATTTACCTTTGTAGCTACTACTGTGGCAGCAGGTGGAAGTACTTCTGGTGGTCCAAAAAGTTCCAGTCCAGGTAATAGAAATGAATGACTCAAATGAAGTTTACATGCTAAACATTCTTCTCCCACATGTTTCATATATCCAATATTCATCTCTTTGAATGAGTATCCAGTTGAACTTTAAAAGAAAAATTGTTCCAGATGGACTTAAATAGGCAAGAAATACTTTTATATAAAATTATTGCAATAGGAGTCAAGACCATTGCAATAAGGATGAGATTTTGAACTCAACTCTGCTGAGACAAAAGACAGGAGAGTTAAGTGCTGGGATGAAATGATGCAAAAGTACTGGAGGGCAGGCCATGAGGGAAGAGGTTGTCTGATTATGCCATTGATGGTTGCTAATTGGTACTTATAGAATCAAAGTAGGCTCCTTCCTTCCCACAGAGACAGGAAGATATGGGTGCTATTATTCCTTTTTAAAAAATATATATTTTGTTGATTTTTTTCCAGAGAGGAAGTGAGAGGGACAGATAGTTAGAAACATCGATGAGAGAGAATCATCGATCAGCTGCCTCTTGCACACACCCCCACTGGGAATGTGCCTGCAACCAAGGTACATGCCCTTGACCGGAATCGAACCCAGGACCTTTCAGTCCGCAGGGCAACACTATCCATTGAGCCAAACCGGTTTCGGCAGGTGCTATTATTCTTGATGATTTCATGTCAAGGGGGTGGCTCTCAGGTCTTTGAAAAAGATTCCAGGATTTTAAAACTGGCCAGAGCTGAAGGAATATTTGCATCTCAAAAGAGTCAGAGAACTAACTTACAATTGCAAGTTTCTTAAAATAAATGCTCTAAGAAAAGGAGTCCAGGGACCTAGAGTCAGGAAGAAGCCTGAAGTTTAATCAGGCTGAGGGAAATGGTAAGGCCATCTGGATAAACAGAGATGGTTCTCCTTTTCTCTCACTCTATTATAACTTCTATCTCCCCACAACTGTTACAGGATAACCAAGAAACCAAGTTATAGGAAGTAAAACAGTCAAGTGTGGGAAAAGTTTTTGTTATTTAGAGAAGGAGACCCAAAAGTGAAATTTACCAGGATCAGAGGAAAGTATTCATTTCTGTGAGCAAGGAGCTGCTGAGGTAGAAACCTCATGGTTCAATTGCAGGAGCCTTAGTGTATGCATGCGAACATTCCAAGTGCTTTGAGACTTTGTTCCATGTAGAGACATCTTGGGACATGCTCTTTTGAGACCAGAAAAAGCTCATTGCTCTTTTGCTGCTTATTTTAGGTACCTCCCAGGAAGCATCTGAAACGACCACTGCTTTTGGAATTTCTACCCTGGGTAAGCCAAATAATAATAAATAAACTTAGCTTGGTGGCATCTCAGAAGACAGGATAGGTTACCAGAAGTTAAACTCTATCTTCTCCAGTCCACTGTATGCACCATGTTTATTCCTCCCTTAGTTGTCACTGCTTCCACAAGAGTCTGGAACTGGAATACAACCATAGGAACACTGGCAATACATACTTGTTCATGACCAGTGTGCCTGTGATTACATACAAGGAGTTGAGTTTGGGGGAGAGGGGTGGTGGAAAATAAAAAGGAGAGAAAGGATAGGAAGTTATGCTAAATTTCCTTTTGGAATATGACTTTGGAGCTCAACTAGCTGTGTTTTTTTTCTAGGATATTTTTTTTGTTTAGGCTTCTTCCAGAACTCCTCTCCTGGAGAATTAGTTATAAAGCTCTTAGTTTGAAATCTCTGAGTATGAGATTATGAAATGTGCTATTGTTGACAGATGGGATAATAACAAACCTCAAAGTGTCCTAACTAGATTAAATGAAATGACCCAAATATACTGGAATGAACTGTCTATTCTACACAAAGTTTTCCTTGAGCACGAGTTTGTGTGATTATTTGTACACTCATATACACAGAAGCTTGATGTGCATACATTATATTCTGATAAATAAAGTGACAATGCCATCCTCTTCTTTCCCCTCAGAAACCACTATAGTAGCAGCAGGAGATCAAAAAAATAAAACGAGAGCAGGTCAGTATGGGAAAAATTTTAATTTCTTTATTTTTCATTTAACTAACATTTTTTTAATACCTTATATGTGTTAGAATCTATAGCAAATACTAATGGCAAGTTTATAAATAAAAGATAGCCCTTTCCATTTTATTACTTTGTGTGTGTGTAGGAGGGAGGGTAACAGGGGGGATATGGGGACCAAAACTATATTTGCAGTATGTTTAATGCTAACCCATAAACATGTACAATTATGGCCACAGGGGTATAGTGAGTGGAAAGTGTTAATACACATCTATTAGTTGGTACTGTTGAGTGAAGGGATCACAAAGGATATGCTTGAGTTTAATATTGGCCAGAGTAAGAAGGGAATTCTACCAAATAGCCCTTGAGAAGACAGGACAAGAAACAGCATCAGTGAATTCAGGAGTCAACCAGATGTTGGTGATGATTGTTTGAAGTTCAGGGAAGAAATAGTATTGAAAAGGTAAATAGAGGAAAGTTCATGAAGGACCTTATTTACAAACTTAAACAAGACATTACTCCTTGCACTAAATGGGATCTCTGTTAGACTTGTATTAAGAGAATAATATAATCAGATAGGTGTTTTAGAGAAATTACTCTGATAACAAGATGGAGGTTAGGAGATTGTTCGTTTGTTTTTTCTTGCGAATGTCCAATATATTCTTGAAATTCTGGTTCAGGGAAGATTTTTCTGCTGTATTTATGCCCAATAGATCATTACTCTCTCCTGCTGTTGGTTTCTGTTAACCTGCCAAACTTTTATAGTTCGGGATTAGCCTCGCTTCCCTCAGTAAAGAGGGACATTTGATCTCCCAAACTCCCACATGTTTAATTTCTTTTCTGTTTTTCTGTATCTATTATTTGTTGGCATCTCTCTACCTAAACATTCAGAAATTTTAAGTGCCTCTCAAATATTCTCTTGCTTCTAGGCCAGACTTTTTATTTGGTAGGTAGAATAAAAGTACTAATCGGATTATTAATTGTTTGAAAATGGAATTTTAATTTATCAGTAAATTGTTGGGTTGACTAAAATAAGTGATGTGCAAAGCCTCAGAAAGAAACATATGACCATTTTAAAGTATTTGGTTAGGGCCGAAACCAGTTTGGCTCAGTGGTAGAGCATCGGTCTGCGGACTGAAAGGTCCCAGGTTTGATTCTGGTCAAGGGCATGTACATTGGTTGCGGGCACATCCCCGGTAAGGGGTGTTCAAGAGGCAGCTGGTCGATGTTTCTCTCTCATCAACGTTTCTAGCTCTCTATCCCTCTCTCCTGCTCTCTGTAAAAAATCAATTAAAAATATATTTTAAAATATTTGGTTAGGGTAGAGATGGAGCAAGGTTGAAGTAGTTCAAGAAGACAAAAAGAAGATAAAAGTGCTTAAAGGATTAAATAAATTGGTAACTAAAAATACATCTCTCAGATATATCAATTATTCTTTTTCTTTTTTGATTATGTATTTTATTGTCATATTCATCAGAATTGTCTCCCAAGAAAATTTTGAAGAGAAGTTTACCTTGATGACTTAACATTTTTCCTTTAGAAAATGTCCTGCCATTAAAATTTGAGATTTAAAGGAAATACCCTCTAATGGTGGAATTTCAAATGCCTGGAGGAGCAGAAAGGGAAGATAGATAGGAATGTGTCTGTTTGTAGGCTAGCAATGTAGCCAATTACTTTCAGTAATGAGATAACTCTATTTACCCCGAAACTATTCTAAGGACTTTAGGGACTAATCTGAGCTGTCTGCTTTTACACAGATTGTCCAGAACCACTCCCACCACCTCCAGGTAAGAACACCTGCACTTGAAAAACAATCATTCTGCATTAATGTTTCTTATAAATCAAATTTCAGAGGTTGTATCAATAAAAGGCCACCAGATTTGAAGATGTTATAAAATAAGAAAACATAAAGTGGATGAATTTAGTTTTTATTCACCAAATAAATAATGAATAGTGGTTTGTTTTACAAGCTAATGAAACAAAACCAAATAAATGTTATCAATCAAAATAGAGTTTACCTACAATGTAAAATATATAATATAATTATATATCTTGATTAACATATGTCACTTGGTAGTTTCTTTTAAACTAGATAATTCCAGCTTTTCTGAGGGCTGAATTGTAGTGAGAAAAATTGATGTTAAACAGAGTTCAATAATTTCAGAGGGTTTCTACTATTCTCTGTAGAATGGCAAAAGTTACCCCCCAAAAAAATAATCATTCTCTGACCTTAGAATATAATGGGAAATGGGAGATTTTTAAAGAAACACAATTTTTATATATGGCTGATAACAAATTTTACAGTAAAAAAAATGTGACATATGTAACAGAATTGCAATTTTAGAACAATATATACACTAGTCCAGGGCATATGAATGAAAGTAGTAAGACAAGGTTGAGAAGGTAGATTGGATCAAATATCAGAAGCTAAAATGCTAAAATTAATAATATTTCATAAGATTATATGGGGATGTCAAAAGTTCTTAATCAAAGAAGTGGTGAGATGAAAATTAGGCTTTAGGAAAATTAACTATCGTATAGAAAATTAATTCGATCAGGAAAATACCTTAATCAGAGTAACCCCCGAAAAAGCCCGAGTGTGCTACATCAGTGATACTAAGATCCCAGAGTATTATGGCAAGCAGAGCCAGGAACAGAAGGGATTCAAATGAAGATGAAGATACAAGATTTTGCAGTAGGTTGGATAGCAAGTGACAGGAAGGAATCAAAATGACTCCTAAGTTTTAAGTAAATGGTTGGAAGAATAATTTGGCCATTAATAGTAGGAAGCCAGTTTAGATGAGAAATTGTTTTGGGGGCAAAATAATACAATCTGTTTTGTTCACATTGAATTTAAGGTTCTTACAGATTGGCCAGCATGCTATTTATTAGATGGAATGAGATCTGGGTCCATCTCACACATGATGTCTGGACTGGAGCTAGACACTTGAAAGTCATCTACTTAGTGTTACAGTGGACCCTGTGGAGTGAGAGGATGCCAGAGGAAAGACTGGAGAAAAAACTGATAGAGGAATTCCAGAGTGTTTAATCTGAAAGAAGAAATTTTCAAGATGAGTGTTACAAGTGTTAGCTATTGCTAACTTAAAAAACTGAGAAGTCCCTTGAAACTGGTAATTATAAAGTCTAAATGACTTCTAGGATTATGGAGGCAGAAGTCAAACAGGAAGCAAAACAGTAGCCATCAAGTTTATTAACCACTGCCAAGAGAATTTAGAATTCTCATTTCCTGGAGTTTCTAAACATAGGGAATATATGCTTGTTAGGGACAATTTGCTCAAAGTAGGTGGATATGATTTTTCCACTTAAGGCACTATAGTGTCTCTGATTCTGTGTCTCTGAAATCGTAGTGCTAATTAACAGTATTGGCCACCTGATGGTTATCTACAAGTAACAGATGGTTATATTTTGCCAAATTTAATTAGCGTTTGTCATTTCATGTTAACAGTTTGCCATGGTCCAACGGGAGAAGAGAAATCAGTAAGTACCTAGTTCTTCTCTACTTCAATCCAAATTTGCTGTCATTCCTGTCTTGGAGTAAAAGTCTAAACTTGGTTCGTTTCTGTAGCCTGGAGATACGTGGACTGCTAATTGCCACAAATGCTCCTGCACCAAGGCTAATGCGGTGGACTGTAAACCCAAGGAGTGTCCTTCTCCCCCCACATGCAAAGATGGAGAGAGGCTTGTGAAGTTCAAAGATAATGACACCTGCTGTGAAATTGGATACTGTGGTGTGTATTCCTAACACCTTATTTGGATTGAATTGAATAGTTGTTTGCTTCCATATCCAAGAGGTAGTTATTGAGCTACTAATATGTGTCAAACACTATGCAGGATAGGTGTGATAAGTAAAACAGAATCAGTAGTTGCCCTCTTAAAAATTTGCTATCTTTGTAAGGGAGAAACCCAGAAGTAACATCAATGAATATAAGCAGCAGATTAAAGTATGTTGATGTTATGGGAAGAACATTATGATTGGCTGAGAAGTGCAATCCCATTTACAATTTCTGTCTTATAAATAAAAAATATAATTATAATGTTTACTTTAGGATAAAATAATACATTTGTTTTTCAGAACCAAGAACATGTTTATTTAACAACACCGACTATGAGGTAAGGTCGTTTTCCTCTTGCTTTACCCTATTTTTATCAATGTCATTATGAATAAATGCAGCCTCTTTCAGCTTATGACATGAAAATTTCATAGTCAATTGTGGGGCAGAATTTTCCCCCTATAGTCAGTTTTCAAAAGGAATGTCAAATGTAACACTCAGCGTGGCTCTTTTCCCAGGGAGAAAATATACTTGATCATTAACCAACCAGCACTGGAGCTTCTGAATAATATTTCCCCCAGGGCTTGCCAGATGGAGAAGACACACTCTGTAACATTCAAATCAATGAACAGAGTTAAACTGTAATTATAACCAGGAAGATCAGATGGCCAAACTGTCAGAGACCAAATAAGAAAACCCCAAAGACTAGAACCCCATTATGTGCATATAGCAATACAGGGGTGGGTTTTGACAACTGATTTGGCATTTTGGAAAGTAGCTTAACTTCTTGGAAAAAGTACCAGGAAGCCATAAAAACCAGATGATTCTCAAAATGACTTTAATACATTTTAACTGGTGGTACTAAGTGTTAAAAAAAAAAAAAAACACCCTGAAATAAAGTATATGTGGCATGTTAGGAAATACACAGAAACAAAGCCCATGCGAGTTTTAATTTGGTAACTTATTTATCACACTCAATTTTTAGTTTCTTAATTTTTAGTTTCCAAAAGTGACCTGACGAGAATGTATGATAGTTTTTAAACATAAAATATGACTATGTTTAAAGAACAAACATTTTATCTCGATGCATTTATATGAAAAATAATTGAAATTGTTATTTAGTTTACCAGAAAGTTTATTTTGTGGTTTTAAGTCCTGAAAGAAATGCAATTTCCCAAACTGGTGTTTGAATTTTGAGCATAAATTCATTATAAAGACATCTAGAGAGCTTTAAAAGTATGTGGCCTGAAGCTGTATACGTTTGTTAACCAATGTTATCCAGATAACTTCAATAAAAAGAAAATAGTATAGAAACACAAGCAAAGATAGAAAATGTTACTTGTCATTTGTGATAAACCTATTTTATGCCCCCTCCCCCCATTTGGATTTCCTTTTTGTTTCCCCTTAAACTGAGAGCATAAAAACTAGTCAATTGACTGTTACAAATAAAATAATCTTTCTTGGAAACACTTAAAAACTACAGCAGAGCCCTAACTGGTTTAGCTCAGTGGATAGAGCATCGGCCTGTGGACTGAAGGGACCCAGGTTCGATTCTGGTCAGTGGCGTGTACCTTGGTTGCAGGCATATCCCCACTGGAAAATGTGCAGGAGGCAGCTGATCAATGTTTCTCTCTCGCTGATGTTTCTAACTCTCTATCCCTCTCCTTTCCTCTCTGTGAAAAATCCATAAAATATGTTTGTTTTTTTTTAAAAAAAACTATAACAGAATAGCTATATCAGGCCTTAATTTGAGAACCTTGACACATTCTGTGCTCTCAATGACAAACTTTGACTCATGGAAGTAGAAGGCTTTCAATCCATCTTTCCTTAAATATTAACCTAATGCCTGAACATGCCTCTGAAAATTCACTAACCATCATGAATTTTTGATTTTTTTTTAAATACAGGTTTTATTATCAACAGCAAAAAGAAATCAAGGTGACTAATTACTTTGTTCTCTCCTCATTCCCACCCCCCAGATTGGTGCTTCATTTGATGACCCCAACAACCCATGCATCTCCTACTCCTGCGACAAAACTGGTTTCCGTGCATCGGTCCAGGACTGCCCCAAGCAGACCTGGTGTGCAGAAGTAAGTCATCTTCTCAAGTAGCAAAACAACAAGGTTCACTTCTCATGTTCGATACAAACACAACCTGGCTTTTTTCTCATTTGGAAAAGTTTATATCTGGCTAATAGACCTCTTATAGATTTCATTCCAGATTTCTCATTCACCTTTTATTGTCATGTGTATTTTTTTTTATATCAAAGATATATTTGCAGCCTCTCTAAAATTTAATCTAGGGCTATTCTAGAAGTTAGTTGCTGTGGAAAGCATATTGTTATTTTTAAGCAAACAAACAAACAAACAAAACTCTAGTTTGTTTTCAAGGTTTATAAAGTCAGGTTAGTAATTTTCTGTAAAAATACAAAAAATTTATGTAACCCCATATATGTGTACTGTTCAGAGTTTTCTTAGTGCCCCAGTCTTTATTTTTATGGAGCCCAAATGTGGTAAGGATTTTGAATTAATAAATACTTAAATGCAAGTTATTAAGAAAGGTTTAAGCTTAACTTATTTTTCTTTCTGAAGATACAGTATAATTAATATAATATAGTTCAAAGCTTTATTTTAGAACTCTAATAAATATTAGAGTTCTAAAATAACTTTACATTTATTGCATTTTTATTCTGAGACATTGATAGGCTAAATGAGTATAATAATGTGTGAGGTAAAAAAATTCCTGCCTGTGAGATACTTAGTGTCTGATAGTAATATCGCTGTTAAAGTATTTTCAATTATAATAACTAAGGGATGATTTTTTAATTCCTTTGCATTTTATTTTAAAGAAAATTTTATTCAAGTATTATTTGTCCCTTTCAACTCACTGTTGCTAAAATTAATGTAAATAGTCTCATTTTTATTACTACTCTCTCACATCCACGCTCTTTGAATGGCATGTTCATTTGTTCCATTTTCTCCCCTTGAAATAATACTTCAATAAGTTAAAAAATGTTACGTTGTTTATAGAAAAATACAGAAAAATGTCAGTCTTTTTTCTTTTTCTCTCACCCTTATAGGCAGACCGAGTGTATGATTCCAAAAAATGTTGCTATAAATGTAAGTAAAATTAAGCTCCCCATGTAGAGGAAATATAAACTGTTAGAAAAAAAATTAGCTTCTTTAAACAAAATGGCAGATCATTAAGAGAAAGTCTCATGTGTTTTTAGCACAATAGGTATTCTAATCTATATGCATAAACTGACAATGGATATTTGCACACAATATACTATAGTTACTTATTCGTGTTGGTTGTAAAATCCCTCCTAGTAAAAACTAGCTATGTTTACAAGGAAAACAATTAATTTTCATGGAAATAAATTTAACTTCCTCTCCTAACATTAGCAGGTTTAGTTGTAAATTGATATTTTATCTAATAAAAGAGTAATATGCAAATTGACCATCACTCCAACACACAAGATGGACATCCCCATGTAGACACAAGATGGCTGCCATAAGATGGCCAGTGCGAGGAGGGCAATTGGGGGCAATTAGGCCAGCAGGGGAGGAGAGTTGGGGAAGAAGAGGCCTGCAGGGGAGGGTAGTTGTGGGTGAGCAGGCACAACTACGTTAAAAAAATGAATCAGAGAGTCAAAAAGGTTTGGAGTGACCAGGATGGTAGAGGAGGGCAGTAGGGGGGGACCAGGCCAGCAGGGTAGGGCAGTTAGGAGTGATTGGGGCAGCAGGGGAAGGCAGTTAGGGTGACCAGGCCTGCTAGGGAGGGCAGTTGGGGGCAATCAAGCCTATAGGAAAGGAAGTTGGGGGAGACCCAGGCTGCAGGGGAGAGCAGTTGGGGGAGACCAGTCCAGCAGGGGATGGTAGTTAGGGGTGATCAGACCTGTAGGGGAAGGAAGTTAAGAGCAAAAAGGCTGGCAGGAGAGTGGTTAAGGGGTGACTAGGCTGGCAGGCAGGTGAGCTGTTGAGAGCCAGCAGTCCTGGATTGTGAGAGTGATGTCGACTGCCTGTTTTGCCTAAACGGGCAGTCGGACATCCCTCAAGGGGTTCCAGATTGGAGAGGGTGCAGACTGGGCTGAGGGACAACTCCCCCCCCCCCATCCCCATGCACAAATTTTGTGTACTGGGCCTCTAGTATTAAATCATAAGGATGATCAGCAATGAGAAAATAGATACCAAAAATAACCATGCCCTCCACTTTCCTTTCCCTCTTCTTTCCTTTACTTCTTCCTTCTCCCCTTCTTCCTCCTTCTTCTGTCTTCTTCTCCTCTTATGGTAGGAATAATAGCAATAACAATAAGATAACATTTATTGAGTATTAAACTGTTAACTGTGCTTAGTGCTGACATAGTTCATATTGTCAGTAAAATTGTGAATAATAATATTTATTATTCTTCTCTAATTATGGTTAAGAAAAATGGATGCTTAGCAATTTTAATGTTAAACCTTTCTGACTCTCTGATTCATTTTTTTTAAGGTAATACTAGTTGCAGAACTTCACCAGTCAATGTGACTGTTTCGTACAATGGTTGCAAGAAAAGATTTGAGATGACAAGATGCATAGGGGAGTGTAAACAGAGCATAAGGTGAGTTTTTCTTTGATCATGTACTGTGTGTTAATTTTGCAACATTATTGAGGCACGAAATCTTTAAAACATGTATGTAAAAAATTAATATTTTTTTATTGGTTGTTAGAGCTAGAGGAAAGGAGTGGGAGAGATATAAATATTGATGTGAAAGTGAAACATCGATTGGCTGCCTCCTACATGCTCCCTACCTGAAATTGAGCCCACAACCTAGGGGCATGTGCCCTGACCAGGAATTAAACTGGCAACCTTTTGGTGCAAACTTTTGATAACACCCAACCAACTGAGCCACACTGGCCTGGGCCATGGAAAATTTTCATATGCTAGCTAATGATCAGGATCTTAATATTTAAAATATTAGGATATGAGAATCCTAATAAGTAATGAATCATTTTGAAGTAGCTTTCTCTATATGTCAAACATAATACATTGATAGCAACTGTATTTATATTTGTATAGTGATTACAGAGAGTAGTTAAGTAATTACTCTTGCTAAAAGTGTATTTTTAAACTGCCACATGCATTTTAGATATAACATTTTACATTTTTTCCTTTATGTACACTTTCACATATAAATTAATTTATGGAGGATAATAATTGGTTGTTAAACTGCATATTTTTAAATCAGTTTTATTTTTTTATACCATAATGCTCTAATTATGAGATTATAAATATCCATTTTGAATTTCTTTTCCTCTTTTTTTTAATCTTACTACCACTTATCACTGATTTATATAAGAAATGTATAGTAATACAAGGTGTAGGGAAAAATAATAAATTGATTGGGAGGCTTGGTAAATAAAACACTTAGACAATTAGAAGTTAAGCATTGATCTCTTTATTTCCAAAGACATTCCAAAAATATTAATTATTGGATATTTTATTTTTAGCTACAATTATGACATCTTTCAGTTGCAAAATTCCTGCCATTGCTGCCAAGCAGAAACAGTCGAGTACAGACAAGTTCTTCTTGACTGTCCTGGTGGCCACACCTCTCCTTACAAATACAGGCACATCACAGGGTGTTCTTGCTCCAACAAGTGCCATCAATCTACATCCTCATCACACTCCTAATGTTAACATTACCTTCCCAGTTGTAACAGGCGGGTGTTTATTTTACAAATGTCCAAATATCAGCACTCAGCTGAGAGAATAAAGAAACATTTGTATCTCTACCCAAAAGTGAATTGTCAATATGAAGCGTGTTAATTTTTGTTGCCTAGATTTTTAAAAATAAATACAATTTTGCAAGCAATTCATGAGTACATGTATTTATTTTATAACAATAAGAATTATTTTTTATTTTAATGTGCTTTATATTTAAAGATAAACAAGTTATTTGGGGTTCTTTAATTGCAGTGCCTAGCTGTAAATAGGTGGCTCTAGCAATAGGAATTCTAAGGAGAAACTGAGTCAGATCATGGCTCACCACTATGTTCATGTTCTCCTCTTCATCTGGTGAGGCCATTCTCTGGTTTTCTTCTTTTCCTTTTGTTAAACTTATTGAAAATGTAGGCTTTGTTCTCTTTCCTTACTTCTCTATGCAAATTGCATCACCTCTTTCATTTTGCTATAACTCTCTCTGCTTCAGACACCAGTGGCCTCCTTATAATTCTTTCTATAGGGGCTGATATTATTTTCACTCTTCCTTGAATCCCTTCTCTTTTTTTAATTAATATATTTTTATTGATTTCAGAGAGGAAGGGATATATATATATATATATATATATATCCATCAATTATGAGAATCATTAATCAGTTGCCTCCTACTGGGGATCAAGTCCTCAAACTGGGCATGTGCCCTTGACCAGACTTGAACCCAGGACCCTTTAGTCCACAGGCTGATGCTCTATCCACCGAGCCAAACCAGCTTGGGCTTGAATCCTTTTTCTTCTTTCTGATACATCATTTTTAACTAATGCTCTGCATTTGCGGACATCATTGTTACAATTGTAATTGGATAGTTATTAATCTAGACTAATAAAAGAGTAAGATGCCAATTGACCATACCTTTATGACTGCCACCAGCCAATCAGGAGTGAGTATGCAAAATAACTCAACAAAGATGGCAGGTTAATTTGCCCCTGCAGGCACCAAGCAGCTGGAGGCGGGGCAGGATGCATTCCGCACCACCCCAGCCACTTTGGGCCTCTGAGTGGGAAGGCTGAAAGGCAGCTCCAGGCTAGAGCAAAGGCAGTGCTGGCAGCCAGGGGAAGAAAGGCCCATTCTTGCATGAATCTTCGTGCATCGGGCCTCTAGTATTAATATAAGAGAAGACCAAAGGGGAGGCCACTATAAGCATGGTCATGTGGAAATTTCACCAGGAAGCTTCACGTTTCACACTCCTTTCAGGAAATCCCCGGTCCATTCCCTGCAGATCACTAGGACAGTGAAGTCAGGACGGCATAGAAAAGGTACTTGCCTGTCGGTCAAACCTGGGAACAAAGATTATTAGGTAGGGGGTGAAGCCACTGCAAGCATGCAAAGTCTTGGAAAGGTAAAAGCCCTGAGACAAACAATTCTCTCTCTTGTTCCTCTTGCTTCGAGACTGCTTCCTTGCACTCACTTGTTCATGACCTACGCTAGCCCATCATGTGGCCCTAGAAACTACATGGCCCATGGCCATGCAACCCCACATGCAATGGACTGCAGCTGGGAACAAGCCAGATGCTGGACTGGACTGTGCCAAAATGGAGTGGAAGCTCTGGGCAGTGGTTTTGATCTTAGCTTGGCTGAACACAACATGGGACTTTGAAAGGCAGGATGGAGGGAAATGGAATCTTGGAAACCTAAGGGTTTCACTCCACAGAAATAAAGCTTTCCACTATACCTCATCCTCCCAGGGGGCCTCAGGAAATTCTTATTCCCTTGGGACCCCAAGGAGCCCACTTCTATCAATAATAGATAGGTACACCGAGGACATCCCTGAGATCACACCTTCACTTTTGCCAGTTCTTTAACTCTGAGGTCTCCAAATTTTCATCGTGTTCCTCTTTTCATTTTACTCAGGCTCCTTAGATGATTTCATCAACACAGGTGGATGTGTTTATACACTGAGGATTTCCAATCTATATGTCCAGACACAATCTCCTCTCTGAATGATTTAAAACTGATACAACTTGAAGAGAGGAGAGTGGAATTTATCTAATCAGATAAGTGAAAGAAAAAAAAGAATGAAAATAGGAATTATGTAACAACTAAAATTCATGTAACCTTCACAAGTATTGGCTCTTTTAATGGAGATTTTCAGATGGCAAAGGATTGGGTAAAAGTGGTGATTTCATACCATTTTTAAGAAGATGACTTAAGTTTCTTTTATAATTATCAGAAGCATTTACAAGAAATAATGAAAGTTAAGTTTTACTTATGTTCATAAAATAAACTAGAATTAGTTTTGCTTACATGACCTAAATTGTTGTGTCTGCTCAGAGGATTTTCAAGTGAGGTCTCCATTTTATATTTAATTTTAACAGTATTAAATCTGAATCCAATCTGGCATCTAAATCTAACTACCAATTATAAGAACATTAAGTAAATAGGTGAGGAGAATGTAAACATTATGAAGAAAATTAGGGGCAAAAGCTGTACTTATTTAAATAAGTTATTCTGATGTTGAATGGGAATAAGGGCATCTCAAGAAAGAAAAAGAATGCTCATTTTATTTATGTCTCATTATAATTACTTCTTATTCTTTCATTCATTTATTCAATACATTTTATCTGAGCATCTACTGTGCACCCTGCTCTGTAAATATGCCATGGAAATATTCTTGCACTGAAGAATGGTTGCAAGTTGTAATCACAAAGGAAATAAAGTGGAACCTGAGATATGGCTGCATGGCCCAACAGGAGTGGCTCAGCTGGTGAAGCAGCATTCTGTGCACCAAAAGATGCCCATTTGATTCTAGTCAGGGCGCATACCTGGGTTTTGGGTTTGATCTCTAGTCAGGGCACCTGTGGAAGGCAATTGGTCAATGTTTCTCTATTTCTCTCTCACATCAATGTTTCTCTCTCCTTTCCCTCTTCCTCTCTCTAAACATGTTCTCAGGTGATGATCAAAAACACATATATCCATCCATACATACATAAAGCACCATGGGAAGCCTCTCTGAGGAGATGAGACTTGAACAATGAGAAAGTGCTGGCTATACAAATAGCACAAAGAGTATTATAGGCAAAAGAAACAACATAAGAGAAGCTTGGTATGTTCAAAAAGCTAAAAATAACGTGTGTTGCTTAATTTACTGAGACAGTGTGTCCTGGGATGAGGCCAGAGTGCAGGCAGGTCCCAAATGTACAAGTTATTTGTATAGGTCGAGGTATGGCTTCTGTAGTTTATTCTAATTCTAATTTTATTTATTTATTTATTTATTTATTTATTTATTTATTTATTTATTTGAACTTGACTGCTATTTGGAGAATTTATTTCAATAGTCAAACTGAGAATTGGAAAAAAGGGCAAGAGAAGAAACATTTAAATGCTAAACCTAGTATTTATATATTATGCATTCATAGAGGAGGAAATCACAGCAGATACAACCTTTGGTTTACAGACATGTGTTTTTCAAATTGTTACTCAATAAAGTGTTCCTGAATTTAGATTGCAACTGAATTATGGTTGCTTGTAGATAAATATGTAAACTCCAAAATATTCAAATATCTAAATATCTTCTCTAGACTCACAATTTGCATGTATTCATCTTTAAGTCAGCAATGCAGCTGATGAATAGGTCATAATTCAACCAGATTCAATCTGTATGAACCAGTTATGATCTCGGCTGTGGAGAAATGTGGAATAAGGCAGTGGGCATAAATCCTGACATCCTCTCCCCAAGGAAAGCTATTATAAAATGTCTATAACTAAAACCAAAACCCTTTAGCTGTCTCTAGTTCTATATTTCTATGAATTATTTTATTGTCTGACCTGAGCCAATTATGACACAACATACTGATAAGATTTTTTCAAATCTTATGCTGAAAATTGGACTAAGAATTCATTTTCTAAGTTAGACTGATTTAGAAAGGAGGAAATATTTGCATAATAAAAATGATTAAACTAATCAACACTCAGAAGCATTTTGTTAAGGAGGCTAAATTTGAAGGGCTAAGTGAACATCCTATCTAATAAAGAAGGAATATGCTAATTGCCCATCATGCCCTCACAAAGATGGTGGCACCCATAGCCAATAAGGAGGGAATATGCTAATTTACTGCCACACCCTCAAAGATGGCAGCACTCACAGCTACAAGATGGCAGTGCCCAGTCCTCTCCTCAGGACCGAACTGAGGTGCAGACAAGCCTCAGATGGCAGCTGCCCATCCACTCATGGCTGTCAGAGGCTCAGGTAACCAGGGCTGGTGGAGGCTTGCACTGATGGCAGCGACAGCAGCAGAGGTGTGATGGGGGTGTCAACTTCCCCTGATCACTGGGTCGCCTCCCACCCCTGAGGACTCCCAGACTGTGAGAGGGGCAGGCCAGGATGAGGGATCCCCTTCCAGTGCATGAATTTTCATGCACTGAGCCTCAAGTATATTAATAACAGACTCTCATGTAAAGCAGGACCCAAGTCCATCCCAAATCTCAACTTTGATTAGTAATCAAACTCAATGATGTGGACAGTTAAAACAGGACAGGAGGAATTCATTCTTTGTCAGGGTAATACAACAGTTATTACTTTCCAGTGTTTTTACTTAAACTTATATACATATTTTTAATCTTCAAATAGAGACATTTAAAAGAATTAACCAAATAAAGGAAAACAAGTCCTTTCTTTATGACATTCAGCTTTATTAAAAAAACAAAAGAACAGCAAAGGTACATTTGAAAGACTTTAAAACTATTTCATCTACTGCCTGGACAAGCTAAACATTTTTCTAGAGCGAGAGTGTGGTAGGTTAATTTATTTCACACTGACCTATCAAGTAATGTATGCAATATTACTGAGAGCTTTGTCTATTGACATAGCAGGGCAAAGATGACTTCCCCTGTGATTTACACCTTCAGAACTTTTTCAGTATTCTCTGAATCATTTTATGTCTATTTCTGCAGAGACTCTTCTCTCTTATTACCAGCAACTTATTTTGTTATTAAAAACTAACAGAACATAGACTCTGATAGCAAATTAG